AGGGAACACTGACCACAAGGAGCGAGCCAGGGAACACTGACCACAAGGAGCGAGCCAGGGAACACTGACCACAAGGAGCGAGCCAGGGAACACTGACCACAAGGAGCGAGCCAGGGAACACTGACCACAAGGAGCGAGCCAGGGAACACTGACCACAAGGAGCGAGCCAGGGAACACTGACCACAAGGAAGCAAGGAGCGAGCCAGGGAACACTGACCACAAGGAAGCAAGGAGCGAGCCAGGGAACACTGACCACAAGTTAACAAGGAGCGAGCCAGGGAACACTGACCACAAGTTAACAAGGAGCGAGCCAGGGAACACTGACCACAAGGAAACAAGGAGCGAGCCAGGGAACACTGACCACAAGGAAACAAGGAGCGAGCCAGGGAACACTGACCACAAGGAAACAAGGAGCGAGCCAGGGAACACTGACCACAAGGAAACAAGGAGCGAGCCAGGGAACACTGACCACAAGGAGCGAGCCAGGGAACACTGACCACAAGGAAACAAGGAGCGAGCCAGGGAACACTGACCACAAGGAGCGAGCCAGGGAACACTGACCACAAGGAAACAAGGAGCGAGCCAGGGAACACTGACCACAAGGAGCGAGCCAGGGAACACTGGCCACAAGGAAACAAGGAGCGAGCCAGGGAACACTGACCATAAGGAAACAAGGAGCGAGCCAGGGAACACTGACCACAAGGAAACAAGGAGCGAGCCAGGGAACACTGATCACAAGGAAACAAGGAGCGAGCCAGGGAACACTGACCACAAGGAGCGAGCCAGGGAACACTGACCACAAGGAAACAAGGAGCGAGCCAGGGAACACTGACCACAAGTTAACAAGGAGCGAGCCAGGGAACACTGACCACAAGGAAACAAGGAGCGAGCCAGGGAACACTGACCACAAGGAAACAAGGAGCGAGCCAGGGAACACTGACCACAAGGAAACCAAGGAGCGAGCCAGGGAACACTGATCACAAGGAGCGAGCCAGGGAACACTGACCACAAGGAAACAAGGAGCGAGCCAGGGAACACTGACCACAAGGAAACAAGGAGCGAGCCAGGGAACACTGACCACAAGGAAACAAGGAGCGAGCCAGGGAACACTGACCACAAGGAAACAAGGAGCGAGCCAGGGAACACTGACCACAAGGAAACAAGGAGCGAGCCAGGGAACACTGACCACAAGGAAACAAGGAGCGAGCCAGGGAACACTGACCACAAGGAAACAAGGAGCGAGCCAGGGAACACTGACCACAAGGAAACAAGGAGCGAGCCAGGGAACACTGACCACAAGGAAGCAAGGAGCGAGCCAGGGAACACTGACCACAAGTTAACAAGGAGCGAGCCAGGGAACACTGACCACAAGGAAATCAGAAATCTTAATATAGATGTGCAAGACGATTTTGTTAAGGTGCCTGATTTCCGAAAAGCATGTTTCAAATTGTTGACCAGACCACACTAGAAATTGAAGGGACGACGACGTTTCGACTTGAGAATGGTCCAGGACGGACCGAAACGTCGTCGTCCCTTCAATTTCTAGTGTGTGGTCTGGTCAACATACTTCAGCCACGTTATTGTGACTCATCGCCTGCATGTTTCAAATTGACAAGGTAATACTACTAAATACTGTTGAGTATTTAACATACAACAGCCCAAGTACTGTTGCTGGTAAGTACGAGTGACGTGCCTGGTGTGTACAAGTGTATGAATAAGAATAATAGGGATATTAGTAAAGTATTAAATATCAACAAAAGAGCACGGAACAATGTATATAAATTAGATAAGTTTAGATTTAGGAAAGACCTGGGTAAATACTGGTTTAGAAACAAGGTTTGTTTTGTGGAACGGATTACCGGGTAGCGTAATAAGACCTGGGATCACCGCTTGTTTCAAGCGTAGGTTAAACATCCGTGAACGAGTTTGGGTGGATATAAATAGCTGCCTCTTATTATGAATAGTTTTTTTTTCACAATCTACTGCATCTCAATTTACCACATTAGCAACTCCACAACTCTGAAACTTATTGAATTTAATGATTAATTATTTTATATGCTAGATAAGGGCTCAAGACTTTAAGCATCATGACAAACATTTCGTCCGGCCCTGAGAACTTTGTTGGCTTTAATTTGTTTTATTTAAAACCAATATGAACTTATTCGGCTGCAGGAATAATGCCAAGTTCTTTAGGAAATGCAGAATCAAAATTTTTAAAACGATACTCATTTTTATCAAGGCAGCACGAGGGAGGTTGAGCCAAGGGGAGCGTCGTGTACTTGTAAACCAAGGCTGTAGCTGTGGGCAGTCTTATCTCCTGATAATGGCGTCTTGTTACCTGCGGGAACTGCTTGTCGTCGTATCAGACGCTCAACAGCCTTGACTGTCTGGATAATCTTAGATAAGCACATCAAGACCACTGATTACTACAGCAGAACACCTTCCCGACACCTATTTCAGACAATAATAAACTATTACATTATCAGTAGACACGCATTAACACGCCTACAAGCTTGTACACTGCTTACTTCGCACTTTTGTATTTTAATCGTTTGTCGATAATTTAACATTTACATTCTTTTCTACGTGTGAATATTCCTACGCTAAAAGTAAGCCTTCAGAGATAGGCAAACCTGGAGCTGCCTCACTGATGGTCCGTCATACGTACACTGGTGACCATAACAGCGCAAGTCTACGTACATTTTAATACAGAGGGTAGATTATAAACAAATTATGAGAGCAGTGGTAAAGAATACACTAATGACAATTTCCAAGCATCAGAAGCAGCAATCAGTTGGGTTCGTTCTTTAATCACAATCTGGAATTCTGGGTTCGAGTCCCGGACGGGACAGATAATGGTTGGCCAAGATTCCTATCTAATGCTTCTGTTCACCTAGAAGTAAACTGCAGGCATAATGAGAGTTGCATCCATAAGCTGGCAGTTAATCAACTGGTGTAGAGTTGCAGCCTAGGGACCTCTATACACGTTACGTATATACATTAAACAGGCTACCTGTCCTCTATAACACTATAAATTGCCGTTGAACATATTTAAAGACTTAAACAGCCTGTATGAAGCAAGAGTTCAGAAATTCGACTATAATGTGGCAGGCTTATGTGGAAGATGCAGTTTTTCCTCAGATTCAAACACGTTATGACGATAAAAGTTCATTAAATTTAATTACCTAATTATGAATTATATAAATTTGAATGTATAATACGGGTAATTAACAGGGTGAAAAATTTACTCTGGGTAAAATGCCTTGTGATGACAATGTTGTAGATTAACCATGCACTGTACTTTAATTCAAATTAACGCGAGATTAACCTTGTATATTAAACTAACACGGGTAAATTTAATACTATGTAACTTCCAGAAAGGAAGTCTAACAATGTGACTTACATTGGTAAAAGTGCTACCTTGGGTAAAATAATGTAATGCGGTAACATTGTATTGCCAGGTGAGGGAGCCGGCAGAGCCCGCCCAAACTCCAGGCAACATTAGGCTACTGGTCTACCTGTTTCGTCACGCCCATTGCGTGGTGACCGACATGTGTCCCATTATGCCCCTCGGCCAAATTTAAATTTATGAAAACCAGTAACTGATGGGGCCTGGGGCCTTTGTTATAATACCCAACTGCCTTTTCCAGTACTGTAGTGACTCAAATATTAGTGGTTTAGCACATTTACCTGTAGTAAATTATCAAGAATTAATTTAAAGCACCTTTCTAGTTCAGTTGTGTATAGTTATCTAGGCGCGACATTCCAATTACTTTTGGAATACTCGCGCTTCGCTAGCGATTTGACAGAGTTCGTATCCCGGGAAGAATCGCCTAGGCGCCAATCCTTAACTGTACATCTGTTCATCCAGCAGTGATTGAGTACCTGGTAAATGATTTGGCGGGTGTATTCCAGGAAAAATTAGGATTAAGAATCTACCCGAAACGCTATGCGTGCCAGTGGCTTTATAATAACTTTTGTATAAATAAAAAATAAAAGTTGAAAGCTACAGTGAAGTGGTCAGCGCCCACACCCAGAAAGCTAGCTGGAGTTCAAAAACTGGGTACAGTTCCTTCATTGTCTCTCCCACCTACAGCAGTAATTGTGAACCTACACCTTAGAGCGATTAGCATCGTGTTCCGAGAACTTTCCTAGTAGAGCAAGGCTTTAAAATGATCTCTTTGGGGTGGGGGGAGGTCTTTACTTGCAAGCAAGAGTCTAGTGACCCCCAGCCCAGCTGACTAACACCAGAGTGGTCCTGGTTCTATCCCGGGTTTGCGTTTCGTCCGGGTTTTCAGACAGCGATGTGTGCTTACCTGGCAGTAAATAGGTATCTTTGACTATGGCTGGTGGCATCACAGGGAATCTGTCGTTGGCTGGGGAATCTATAAATCTAACAGGATTCTTGTCCCCGAGAATGGAAAACTGGGAATAAACCACTTGACTGGGTTATACAAAATATGCCTACAGTGATAATATACACAAGTCCCACGCACATTCACCAACCCATTGTGTGCCTCCACTAGTTCATATAATTAAGCCATTAATAGGTACTTAAAACTACAGACAAAAACACATTGGCCACTACAAACTAGCATGATCTGTGGCAAGTGCTGGGCCGGTAGTCAAGTGCTCTACTCGATAAGAGTAGCAGTTCACCTTGAGCCCAGCTTCATTATCTCTACAGCGGCATCTTTCCCAGTCTCAAAATCTGTTCCATTACTGTTTGAAATGTAAATTAAAGTGCGACATTATAGCTCTCGTCAGTTATCACGATAGGATAAGCCTGTCGAACACTCCACGTACATACACATTGCTGACAACCACTTAAAGCAGCTGTATACCCCAGTCACTATACACTAAACATGTATCCACAGACCTGCATGTGCGTTTGATAACTTTCAGCACTTTCATCTATTGTTTGCATAGGCAAACTAAAACCTATACTGTAATTCAGGAAGTTGGAGGTAATATGGGCGAGCCCTGCCATGGCTACTTACCCTACTGTCATCAGCCTGGGTCGGAATTCCTGTCTTGGTGGAGCTGAAGCCATTCTCCGAGGACTTGCTCTCGTCACTGTCTACGGTACCGATAGACATCCTGCCCGGGAGAGAGCAGAGCGGCGACTGAGCCACAATGGTCCAATCCACTACTCTCCGACCCTCACTACTGGAAGGTCGTCTCTGGCCTCGCGTTGCCATCGCCACGCTAACCTTATCACTTTATCTCACATTTTGTTTAATATATTACTTTGTAATTTGTATTCTAAAAGAAGTAATGTGGTGGCTGTAGTGTGGTTGGGAAAGCATTTTTTGAGTTAGCGAGTATGTACAGAGAGCAACGAGCCTCTTAAGACTGGCTGTCCCTGTTGCTACCACATCACCCTTGTATTTCATTATGCTTTAATATTTGTTATTATATCGCCTGTAATTATTCTCTTATTACAATTCATGGGAATTTTTAGCTGGTAAATATGTACAGCAGAGGTACGTGATAGTCTTTCCCCACAATATTCCCGTGTTACAGCCTCTGTGTCAGTGTTTGGTCAGGTCAACGTCCCTCTCTATAATTACGTCTAATTTGTGTAGGCTGCGGGTGGCAGCCTACACAAGGCCTTGTTGCTTATACAGGAAGCCAGGTTGTACATACAGTACATGTATAGCCCGTCCAGGGATGCAACCCCACTTCAAGCTAACTAACAGCCCGAAACGCTTTGCGTAATTGTGGCTTTAGGCATCGTATGTACTAGCTCTATCTATTAATCCATCAACTTTTGTATCTTACCTTGTATGTATGTACCTTACCTGAATAAAAATTTATTTATATTTATTTATTTATTTAACTTCTGGGTACCTGTAGCGAGTATATTATGTCAACAATATACTCGCTCCAAGCGCTCATTAGCTTAATGACAAACTCATAAGCAGTAAATATGTGCTCAAATCTCTTCCCTCATTACAGGTAACATTTCTTCCATCCTTCCAACGTATTGGAGGACGGTGAGGTATCGTTCAATTATATAAGCAGTCTTTAAGCGATTAAGGGCCTTGCCCCGCTCCTGTGCCAGGTAAGTTACGGGCTCACCATAGCCCGTGCTACTTGGAACCTGTTCCGAGTAGCTGAATCTATAACAACAACAACGATTAAGGGGCAGTTACAGCCCCGCTCCTGTGCCGGGTAAGTCCACTACGGGCTCACCATAGCCCGTGCTACTTGGAACTTTTGTTCCGAGTAGCTGAATCTAAAACAACAACAACAACGATTAAGGGGGTTACGGGCTATTCATGCCCATGCCACCTCTTGTGTTTGGCTTAATCTTTATCAATCAATCGATTAAGGGGCAGTATAATTTCCATAGTGATTCAGTTAACTTCAGGACACACTTCAGAGTTACCACACCTCTTCAAACCTCAAGAATGTAGCACTCGGCATGTACAGTTACAACCGACCCCAAGACACTCCAGCTTCGACACAGCAGACAGCAGACGTGTGCCACATCGAGCTACAACGCTCTCGCACCCCATGAGTTTAGACATTCACCATTCCCCATCGAGCCGCCACGCTCTCCCGCATAGAGCTCTAGCTGTGACTCCGGCCTCACTCAGCTCTCTGCTCTGCTCCACGCTCCGTCTCAACGTCTACGACACTGCAAACGACCGCCTGCTGTAACCAAGACTACTAAATAAATATGAAAACCCACTAAACACTGTGTATCTAATCTACACAGCCAACAAAACCCAACAACGTAACATAATCGTACATTACATACCTATTTACTGCTAGGTGCACAGAGGCATGAGACTAAAGGAAACGCGCCCAACCATTTCTGTGGAGACTGGTTTTCGAACTCGGAATTCTCGATTGTGAGTCGAGAACGAACTCGATTGCACTACTGGGATTTTAAGGAAAAAGAAGGTAGTAGTATGTGCCTGGTGCGCCCCCACCTGGTTTATTGCATCCAGGCATGGACACCATGCTTCGTAGCTTGGTGGATAGCGCGCAGGACTCGTAATTCTGTGGCGCGGGTTCGATTCCCGCACGAGGCAGAAACAAATGGGCAAAGTTTCTTTCACCCGAAGTGCCCCTGTTACCTAGCAGTAAATAGGTACCTGGGAGTTAGTCAGCTGTCACGGGCTGCTTCCTGGTGTGTGTGTGTGTGTGTGTGTGGTGTGGAGAAAAAAAAAAAGTAGTTAGTAAACAGTTGATTGACAGTTGAGAGGCGGGCCGAAAAAGCAAAGCTCAACCCCCGTAAAAACACAACTAGTAAACACCACCTCTCCAGAAAGACATAGCTTCATCGGAGAAAGTTTAACACCGGGCAACAAATATAATTCCAGAACTAAGTCAACTCTCATACCGGGACAGGTTGAGGGCCACACGTGTAAGAACATAAGAATAAAGGTAACTGCAGAGGCAGCTTCTATATATAACCACCCCAATCCCACTCATATACATGTCCAACCCACGTTTGAAACAATTGAGGGACCCCACCTCCACCATGTTACGCGGTAATTAGTTCCATAAATCAATAACCCTGTTACCGAACCTGTATTTACCCAGGTCTTTCCTAAATCTAAACTTATCTAATTTATACCCATTGCTTATCGCGCTCCGTCTCATGTTAATACTCCCAACACCCCAGCAATATCCCTTCTGTTATGCCCACCCATCCACCTGCAAACCTCCATCACGTCACTCCCAATCACTCCCAACTCTTCGCTCCTCCAGTGAACGCAACCCAATCTTTAACAATCCTTCCCCACATGACAGGCCCTAATTTGGGGGACCAACCCCGTCATCCCGCGCCGGACACGTTCAAGCGAACCCACAGTAACAACACTGCACATCAGACATGATAAGCTGATTTCATTGAAACGTGTAAAATAATGAACAATTTGGAGGACGTTGATCCGGACAACTTCTTCAAAATGTCAGATGTAACGTAGGCAAGGAGTAACGGTTCCAAGCTCAACAAGCCACAGTGTAGGACTGAAAACAGGGAAATGTTTTCTTTTACTCAGTGTTATAAACCCAAGGAACCGCCTACCCGTCGAAGCCATAAATGCTAAATTCTGCTTAACTTTAAAATCCAGCTTGAAAAATCATCAGGACAAAGGGGGGGACCTTTGACAAACCACCGGCTTCCTGTCCTCATTGAGGCCACTAGTGTTAGTAGCCCTCGGGTAAATAAAATATCACATATCAAGCCAGTCTTAGAGTACTGTATGTGGCTCCAAGCGTGTAGTCAATATCTAGCCAAACATAATAGAAAGGTAAAAAAAGTTCAGAGGTATGCCACCAGATTAGTCCTAGCACTGAGAGCTATGATTTAAGAGGAAAGGCTACAGGAATCTTAAATCTGAGGCTAGGTAATGATGATAGAGTTACAAGATACGAGCTTGATGGTGTTGAGATTGCGAAGTCGGATTGCGAAAGGGATCTGGGAGTTATGATTAGTAAGAATTTAAAACAAAAGGATCAATGCATGAATGTTCGTAATAAGGCGAATAGGACACTGGGATTTATTAATCGAAGCGTTAGTAATAAGACACCTGGTGTGGTTCTTAAGCTATATCTTGCTCTGGTTAGGCCCCATTTAGATTATGCAGTTCAGTTTTGGTCGCGGTATTATAGAATGGATATAAATTCACTTGAACGTGTCCAACGTAGGATGACTAAGTTAATTCCCCAAATTAGAAATCTTTCATATGAAGAAAGATTAACAAAGCTTAAGTTGCATTCACTGGAAAGGCGAAGAGTTAGGGGTGACATGATAGAGGTTTACAAGTGGATGAATGGACATAAAAGAGGGAATATTAATAGGGTATTAAAAATATCAACACAAGACAGAACACGAAACAATGGGTATAAATTAGATAAGTTTAGATTTAGGAAAGACTTGGGTAAATACTGGTTCAGTAACAGGGTTGTTGATTTGTGGAACCAATTGCCGCGTAACGTGGTGGAGGTGGTGTCCCTCGATTGTTTCAAGCGCGGGTTGGACAAGTATATGAGTGGGATTGGGTGGTTAGAGAATAGGAGCTGCCTCGTATGGGCCAATAGGCCTTCTGCAGTTACCTTTGTTCTTATGTTCTTATGAATCAAACCTCCCGTCACTGAAGGAAAGAAATGAGTTAGGGGAGACATGACCACCACATACTAAATTTCAGGGGAACTGACAGGGTAGATAATGATAGACTATTTAGCACGCACACGGAAACTCAGCTGGAAACTTAGTACCCAAATGAGCCAGAGACATTAGAAGAACAATTTGTCATAGTGAACAATTGTAATTCATTATTAAGAAGTGATGTGGTGGAGGCAGTTTCCATACACAGTTTCATACGTATATATGATAGAGCTCAATAGGCTCAAGAACTTGCACACCCAGGGGGGGGGGGCTGGTGGCTGAGTGGACAGCTCTTGGGACTCGTAATTACAATACAATACAATACAATACAATTTTATTTAGGTAAGGTACATACATACAATAAATATTTACAAGGATTGTTTAACTTATAGGTATAGCTAGTACATACAATGCCTAAAGCCACTATTACGCAAAGCGTTTCGGGCATGATAAACTTAAATGACAAGCTTAATACTAATTGAGCATAATGAGTAGAATGAAAACATAGATGAAAAAGCAGCACAAATACAATTATGTCGACAAACAGCGCTCTTTAAAGAAAAAAACAGACATTGCTTGACAATAGAAGGGTAAGGTAGGTTACAGGGAATTTATTAGGTATAGCTTCACTTTTAACTTAAACTGGTTGAGAGAGGTACAGTCTTTAACATGGTTGGGAAGGTCATTCCACATTCTGGGCCCCTTGATTTGTAGAGCATTTCTAGTTTGATTAAGTCGTACTCTAGGAATATCAAAACTGTATTTATTTCTGGTGTGATGCTCATGGGTTCTGATACAACCTTCTATGAAGCTTTTGAGATCAGGATTGGCATTATAGTTTAGCGTTTTATATATGTATAATACACATGAGAGAATGTGCAGTGACTTAATGTCTAACATATTCAGAGATTTAAGTAGGGGTACCGAGTGATGTCTGGGGCCAGAATTGGATATTGTCCTAATAGCAGCTTTGTGTTGAGTAATTAGAGGACGTAAGTGATTTTGGGTAGTAGAGCCCCAAGCACAAATACCATAGTTGAGATATGGATAGATAAGGGAGTAATAGAGAGTCACCAGGGCAGGGCGTGGTACATAATATCTGATCTTAGAAAGAATGCCCACAGTTTTTGAAACTTTTTTTGATATGTTTAGAATGTGTCCCTGGAAATTAAGCTTCTATGGCACGGGCATCGATCCCCGGAGATGGTGGAAACAAATGGGCAGTTTCTTTCACCCTGATGCCCCTGTTACCTAGCAGTAAATAGGTATCTTGGAGTTATTAACAGCCTGTTAATAACTCCAAGGGCTGCTAAATATGGGCTGCTTCCTGAGTGTGTGAAAAAAGTTGATTGATTGACAGTTGAGAGGCGGACCGAGAGCCAGAGCTCATCCCCCGCAAGCACAACTAGGTGAATACCAGTTGATAGACAGAACCAGAGCCAAAGCGCAATCTCCAAGTAGGCACAATTAGGTGAGTACATGCTGTCTGTCAACTATGACAGTTACCGTCGAGAGGTAAATTTTACCGGATTTTTATATTTTTTTTACTTCATTATATTTTTAATTTTCTTTTTTTTTTTACTTTGTATTTGAAAGTTTCTATACAGATGACAGAGCGCTGTGTAGCAGGCTGTGGAGACCAATGTGGGAGCCTCAGCGGGAGACGCTGCAGGAGACCCCTGGCAGTACCAGCCGCTTTGGGAGACGCGCCAGACGCTCGTCTCTTGTCCAGTGTAAACAAACATGGGAGGGAAGACTGTCGCTTATTTTTATGATCCGGATGTTGGGAATTTCCATTATGGTAAGGCGTGTACTGAAGATATTTATTAATGAAAGCAATATAGAAGCATGCAGTGTATGAGGTGCGGGAGAAGGTAGGGGCGGCGGGACCTAGGGCGGTGTAGGCCGCTCCTCCTACCATCATGGATTTTGTAGTGTTGTGTACCTCACGGCAAGTTATTCTGCCGTGTGTCGGCTTGTGCATGACGCTTTATGAGGCTAATGTGGAGGACGGGGTGAATTGTATCACAAGTAGCCCAAAGGAGGAGAAAGGATAGTGTTATTTGATGGTTGTGGTAGGGTCTCTTATAGTACACTTGGCTTTGTTCTCGACTCGCAATTATATAATAATAATCCCGGGGGAGAGTCTCGGGCGGGTCAGTAGTAGTTTGGCATGTTTCTTTTCATCTGATGTCTCTGTTCACCTAGCAGTAAATAAATACCCGGGAGTTGAGATAACTTGTGGGGTTGCATCCTAGGGAAGGTGTGTAGTTCAACCTTGGGGTTTGGTGTTACATAAATCTCCCCAGCTTGGCGCCTTCTTTTGATAATTACAGAACTTGCTTACTTACTCAACCTTGGGGGACTTTGATACAACCCTAAAGAATGTGTGTGTGTGTGTGTGTGTATATATATGCACGGACTTTCCATCCCTGGCAAAATGAATTGTAGTTAATTATCAAGATGGAAAGATAATTATAAATGATGGAAAGTGCCTTGGCCTATACTTAGACAATAGACTCAACTTCAGTGCCCACATACAACACATAACTAAAAAGGTCTCTAAAACATTTGGTATACTCTCTAAGATCAGATATTATGTACCCTGCTCTGCTCTCTTACTCTTACGCACTTATCTATCCCTATCTTACTTATGGTATCTGTGCTTGGGGTTCAACCTCTGCAAACTACCTCAAGCCCATCATCACCCAGCAAAAATCTGCTACAGTATCAGGACAATAACAAACTCTGCTTTCAGACAACACATGGCTCCCCTGTTTAAATCCCTAAACATGCTAAACATAAAGTCACGCCATACATTCTCGTGTGTCAATTACACTTATTTATAAAACCCTTTTCTTAGTTGCAAACCCTGTTCTGAAACTCTTCCTGGACAGATGTAATAGAACACATACCACACCAGGCATAAATCTCTTTGATATCCCAAGTCAAACTTAATCTGTGTAAACACTATGCAAATAAAGGGACCTAGTATATGGAACTCACTCCCAAATGAATTGAAAAGCTGTCCAACTTGTGCCTTATTCAAAAATAAAACCAAAAAGTACCTAATTTCATCTAAATAGTTTTCTACCTAGTGCTTTATCTCGCACTGTATCTAGTGCTACCCAATCCCTCAATATTTGTACCTAAGCCATATTACTTTACCATTGTAATCTTAGATATCTTCTGATATCATGGTTGTTGTATTGAGTGCATTTTCTACTGCATTATTCCTTGAAATGATCCTAATTTTATGTTTCAGTGAACCAATGTATAACCCTTAAATGTTATTCTAATGTGCCTAGTAATCCTTGTTCATTATTGTGTATTGTTATTATTGTGTATTATTCTAATCTGCATTTGTGTCAAAATTTCTTGCAATGTACCTGTAAATTTTTTTTTTGTCAATTTCACTAATTATTTTACTTAAAATTATCTGTACCTGTAAAGTAAAGCTGTAAAGTACGTGTAAATATATTTTGTAAATTTTACTGTGAATTATCTAAAAATTATCTGTTAGTTTAACGACTTGCCAAAACGCTATGCATGCTAGAGGCTTTACAAGAATGTAAAATCAACTTAATTTCTATGTTTTCTGTTAACCCCCAATGTACTTGTATATAAATAAATAAATAAATAAGATCGTGGGATGAAGCTGAGTCGCCTCACTTTCAACTAACAAACCATGTTTTCTGTAAATTTTAATGTTACACTAGGATTTTAACACTGAACTCTGGCCTAAATCTTAAAAAGAAAAAAGAAAAAAAGTGGACAAAATTCTAAAATAATCAGTTTTCTAATCCACTGTGATTCTCTTGCATGTTAACTAATTAAGGATTTATTTACTTTTCAACAGGTCCTGGACATCCAATGAAGCCCCACCGCCTTTCTATTACACACAGTCTTGTCCTTCATTATGGCTTATACAAAAAATTACAGATATACAGACCATATCGGGCAAATTTCCATGATATGACTAGGTAGGTAAGGAGTGTGTGCTATGTACGATTATATATTTAAAAAATATAATATACTGTATATAGAATGATGCAGTAATTTTATATAAACATAAGTTATTGCAGCAAATTGCATGATAGTGTAATACAGTATCAGTATAAATCTATGATAAATTACATAAATAACTCGAGCTATTTTTTGTAATATTTTGTGCTGGGGGTGCAAAAATGCCCATGAATACTAATGTAGGGTTAATGAAATTACAGTCAAAAGAACTGAACCTATTGTTATTTCTTTTTCCAGATTTCATTCCGAAGAATATATAGACTTCCTGATGCGAGTTTCTCCACAAAACGTTCAAAACTTCACTAAAAATTTAGGACAATTTAATATGGCTGATGACTGGTATGTTGTGTGTGGAAATATATACTGCACAGTATTATTAAGTTGAATAATTTGTTGATCATTATTCTCTGAAGCTATTGCCTATTATTTCCAGAGTAATAAAGAAGCCTTTTTGTTGTTATTTTGGTAATTTTTTAATTTGCACAGCATAGAATGAGTTTAGTGTGCAGAACATGGCCAGGAAAGAATTGGATTTAATGTGTTATATCCCATGGCATTTCAGGTGGGTACTACTGTCAAGTCTTAGAAAGTTTGTGTCTTGAATGACAATCCACATTAATTATTTTTTATTTGATCAGAGACTAGGTAATTTAAATACTCTAAAGTTTTGCTTTCTTGTTTGGGCCAAGGCCTCATGGATCCTCCAGTAGCCAACTTCTGTATAACACTCCCAGAACTCTTATTATTTACTACACTTTCAATACTTTTCTCCCCATTGTGACAGGAAGCTTTGCACGTGGTCCAGTCATGTATACAGGGGAAGGTCAGTGGTATGTGTAATTCAAGCCACCATTTGAGAGTACAGTAATATCTATGATGTAGATCAAGGTATTATTGCTCAAATTTCCCATCGCCCAACTACTTGGGCTGGTTGTTAGAGCGACAGTCTCTCTTCATGCAGGTTGGCATTCAATCCCTGATCGTCCAAGTAGTTAGGCACCATTCCTTTCCCCCATTTGATCACAAATCCTTATCCTGATCCCTTCCAAGTGCAATACAGTATACAGTAGTCATAATGGCTTGGTGCTTTTCCCCTGATAAATCCCTCCCTTCCCCTCAAATTCCCTGTGCAGGTAAATATTTGAGGTACCAAGACTGCCAATTATTGATCTGTAAACTACTGTTAGTAGATCATTATAGGTTTCCAGGTGACTCCACTATCACAGTAGAAGGCATTGGGCAAGTCTTTCTTGTTCATTTTTTCTTGAGTTTTGTCTTTATGCAAGGGGTATTCCATTCCTGTAATATCACTCTTCAGTATGGTGTACCAGTCCTATGAGGAACACTTTAGTAATCTGCAACCCCCAGAGGTATCTTTTTAAATTATTTAATATTCAATGTGGTTTTGCTGTCCTATAAAGTTATGCAACAACCTTGGTTGTGTTTGTGAATTTTACTCCAAGCCTGTGCTTTGGTGTTGGACTTTCTTTATTCACACACTCATTTTACATTGTCCTTTCGATGGTCATGTGGGGCCCTTCCCTTTTTGGTTTTGGTTTAGGACATTGTATGGCTTCTGGTTAGTTTTTCATTTTGTTTAATAATTGCATACCAAATTCTGTAGTATTTGGTGGGTCTGGTTCCTTTTGTCAGATTTTTCTTTTGTTGGTTGCACCTATACGACATTTCATCCTGGTTCCAAGTCTTCATGTTAGTTGCAGTTTTCCTAGTGTTTGCAAATTGCTTTCTGTATTGCCATTACACTCCCCTTTGCTGATTCTGGATTCGTGCCTTCTTTTGATAATTACTTGCTGCCTCTGGAATGTTTTCATTTGGTGTAGGGTAATTCTCAATGTGTGAGAGCCTTCTTATAATGATGCTGTGCTGTTAAGGGCTTGTGCATTGTTATTGGTATTTGTGATCACCTGTTTAAGGTGGCAAGAACCATAGGCCCATCTCATTTGGGTGGGGAGGGGAGAAAATGATAATGAAGCCTAGGTCCTTGGTGCTTGTGAATATCCTCCTGAGGGCTGCAAGTGGCTGGCTGTCTAGCTTATGTGCCTGTTAGCAGCCTATTCCCAGTTGGATCTTTCTTTGTGGCTTACAACTTCCATGCCATCTCCGGTTATGGCATTCATATGTCCTCTACTTGAGGCTCTGTGCTATAAGTCCTGTCTCCAATCTTTTGAGACCAGTGAGCAAGCTCGGGCTTCTTTCTGCACATGACCCACGGATGCTTCCATTCTTTTCCAGTCATGCTTGGTTAGGATTTGAAGTGTGGGCATCCAGCTCTAAAGACCCAGAAATGATGACAATGGGGTTACCTGGTGGTGGGTGATCTAGCCTCTGATTTACTAACCATAGTTTTCAGAACTATAATTGTACTTCTAATTTTCTCTCAGGTGAAAATGAAAAGCAATTTAATAATTCCTATTATAAAGAGCTAGTAATCTCGGTGGTCATCTGAGTTAGGTTTGCCACTATCTTTCTTTCTTAGATATGTCACAGGATCACTTGCAAAGATTCGTTTCACGACGGGGAAACAAGTATTGAGAGCTGGCCTCTGAATGAGACTTTGGTGAATCGTATTGGAGCTGATTATGGAAGGAAATGAGCGTCATGCTTAGAAAGGAGTGAGTCACAATGCACACATTTCTATTTTTAACAAACTTCCCATAAAAATGTGTACTGTATGTTATATTTTTGTTACAGCCCTGTGTTTGATGGCCTGTATGACTTCTGCTCTATGTACACTGGGGCATCCCTAGAAGGTGCTGTAAAGCTAAACCATAATTGCTGTGACGTTGCCATCAACTGGTCTGGAGGCTTGCATCATGCCAAGAAATTTGAAGCCTCAGGTTTCTGTTACGTTAATGACATTGTAATAGCTATCTTGGAAATGTTGAAGTAAGTTGTGGTTATTATAAGTTTTATTTTATAACTAGTAACACGACAAATAATTTAAACATAGTTATCTTAATGGTTTTGGTGGTTATTAACTTAAGGTAGAGGTGAGGCCACATAAGGTGGAAACCTTGCACAGTAATAATAAGGATTGCACTCACATCCTAGAAGTGTGTAATTTTAGACAATTAAGAATAGTGTGCTTCCCCATGTTTAACTGGATAGTTTTCTCTGCGTTGTGGCTTCTTTTAAGAATTACTTCTCTCCTTAAGGAATAACTGCTATAAAAAGAATAATGGAAGGAATGAAATTATGAATAAGAAAAAAGGCATATGCTAAGTGAGAAAAGTGAAGTACAGTATGTTTGTTAATATTAAAATATAAATGTACATAAATCCTAATAAAGCAGGAGGAAAAATATTTAAATTTATCATTAAAATTGCAAATTTAGTGTGGTTGAGAATGTTATTAAATCATTGGAAATTATCTAAAGGGATCCTTTGAAGTGAAATTGAAATTAAATTGTATAGAGAATGATTGTATATTTTATGTACAGTAAAAATATTTCACAAATACAGTTATTAGCTATAAACAGTGGATCCTTGAAAATCCAAACGTCAAGAAAGAGTTTACTACTGTATTAGAAATTCTTTTTAAATGTGAAGGTTGTACCTGAATTTTCATGATTTTTTAACACTTGGAGGGTAAAAAATCCAGACCCAATCAATATCATTAATAGTTACCAGCATTTTTACTACAGTTCTTTTGATTTTATTAATAAACATTACTAAAAAAAATGAAATTATTTACTGTACAGTACTATACAGTACTGTAGTTAGACTGTATTAAAAATCATACAGTACAGTTAGTAGAATGTCATTCTTTTACTGCATTATGGAGAGTGAGATCTAGCTCTTTATGCCCTGCCTCTTAGCCATTTGTACCCGATTCACTAACGACTGTACCCCTCTCAACGTAACGTTTCCATCATATTTTTTCTTGTAATTGTAGATTGAATTGGCTTCAACTAGCTCTTCCTTCATTGCAACCCACTTGCCGACCACCAGTTCAGGGAACAAGAACTTCCTTACATCTCTTCAACTGAACTGTGTGTGCAGCTTACACTGATATCCCCCTTGTCCAGCCATCCTCGTGTACAAGTAGTACTTGTAATAATGTTGAAGCCCATCATACATATATTAACATAAAAGGCAGTTAGAAAGTATAAGTTGGTGTACAGTACTATTGAATTTGGACAAACCAGGTTTTTTTTTACTGATGTTGCAAAAAAAAAGAAAAATTTATGCTGATCATCTTAGGCCTAATATAGTACATATGTGTGCTATATTTGACATTGGAATATTTGTTTGGTTTTTAGCTTTATTTTTTCTGACTATAAAGCAAATAGCACCAAATTCTAATATCTAATTGTCCATTACAACTATGTATGTATGATTGTCCACATAGTTACAAAAGAGTACTATCTATACAGGAGGGTGGGTTGCCTTGTCCTATTTTATTTTTTTAATTTAAATAGGCTTACTTTGACCATCTTGTCTATTCCCCCAAAAGTCCTATAATCTACTCTAGAGTAGAGAAGAAACAGAAACCATAAAGTTGAGAGAAATTTCTCTCAACCTATCCTCATAGATGAGGCCTCTCAATTCTGGTACTGATCTAGTTGCAAACCCAACCCGTTCTCGCAAATTCGTAAAGTCAATATTGACTTATTAAATAAGTGCATAGGTGACATACTAAACATAATAGATACCCTTAAAAAGATTCATAGAAAACACCGACCTTACCTAACCTTGTTAGTATCTTAAGGGGGCGTCTGGTTGGCATCTGGGTCCAAAAATGCAAAAATGAAAACTCATTCGATTTCAATCAAACTTTTTTGACAAGTTCTATATGAAAAGTGTTTCATCTGGTCCAAGTTTCAGCATTGTAGCATAAATAGGAAGGGAGAAAAAAAATATTGAAGTAGTTGTGAAAATTATGCAAAAATGGTCAAAATCGATTATCAATCAAAAGTGTCAACTGAAATCATAACTACAACTCTTTGCTATCACAATAGCATATATTAAACAAATATTATTATTAGTTTAATTGGAAAAAAATTTTAAGGAAAAAAAAAAAAAGGATTTTTTTTTTCTTTTTTTTAAATATTTTTTTTTTCATTTTTTTTTTTGGGGCGATTTGCATCAAAATTACACACCTGACTGTACGTAAGCCTATCTGTAAGGATGCCAATTTTGGAGAAAATTGGTTGATGTCAACCCCAGCCACAGATTTTAGAACCTTAACCTTTATTCATTTCTGTTTTTTTTTCAATTGACACAAACGTTTACAAAACTCATTCTTTTTTTATTCAATTTACATGAAACTTACACAGTATATGTGGAGGGCATGTCTCTACATTGGGGGGCTTTCATTTTTCTCTAAGTTCATTTATTGATTTTATAATAGCAATAAACATGCCATATTTGCAAAAAAATTTTGGGGAACTTTGAACATTTGTATTAGGAAAACTAAAGATGTTTTGGAAATTCTAAATCCCCAAATCCTTTATTATATGCTAATGTGTCAGAAAAGTGTCACAGAATAATTTTATCTGAAACGTGTGTTCTGAAGTGTGGACTTGAAAATGTGTAAAAAACGTTCAAAAAAAAAAAAAAAAAAAAAACTCCCTTTCTATTTACGCTGCAGTACTGAAACTTGGGACAATTTAAGCACTTTTCATATACAACTAGAAAAATAATATTGGTTGACATTGAACAACTTTCATTATAATAACCAGACGCCCCCTTAAGATAAGCATCTTATAGCTTCGTAATTGCAATTGTTACTTAACCTATTACAGGTATAGGTTAAGTAATAATTGTAATTACGAAGCAATAAGATGCTTAATATAAGATACTAACAAGGTTAGGTAAGGTCGGTGTTTTCTATGAATCTTTTTAAGGGTATCTATTATGTTTAGTATGTCACCTATGCACTTATTTAATAAGTCAATATTGACTTTATGAATTTGCGAGAACTGGTTGTGCAAACCTCTGAACCTTCTCAAATTTTTGTTTATGATTCACAAGGTGTGGGTTCTATGCTAAGGCAGGTTACATGAGTAATGGTGTCACATAGGCAGTGTGTTTGAACTTGAAAACCACTTTGTTTAGATTCTTAAATGATGATTTGATGTTTGCTTGCTTCTCATATGCTGCTAATGTTATCCTGTTCACATGAGCTTCTGATGTTGGGATTATGTCTACTCCCAGGTCTTTTTCTCTTATTGTTTCCAGCAATTGCTTTTCCCCTAAGATATAGTTAAATACAGGTCTCCTATCTCCCTTACCCTGGTTGATACCTGGTTGATGGGGTTCTGGAAGTTCTTCTACTCCCCAAGCCTGGCCCGAGGCCAGGCTCGACTTGTGAGAGTCTGGTCCACCAGGCTGTTGCTTGGAGCGGTCCACAGGGCCACATACCCACCACAGCCCGGCTGATCCGGAACTTCTCTTGGAAAACCGTCCAGTTTTCTCTTGAAAATGTCCACGGTTGTTCCGGCAATATTTCTTATAGTCACTGGGAGGATGTTGAACAACCGCGGACCTCTGATGTTTATACAGTGCTCTCTCATTGTGCCTATGGCACCTCTGCTCTTCACTGGTTCAATCTTGCATTTTCTTCCATATTGTTCACTCCAGTACGTTGTTATTTTACTGTGTAGGTTTGGGACCTGACCCTCCAGTATTTTCCATGTGTATATTACCTGTATTTGGTATCTCTCTCGTCTCCTTTCCAGAGAGTACATTTGGAGGGCTTTGAGACGATCCCAATAATTTAGGTGTTTTATCTCGTCTAAGTGTGCCGTATGTGTTCTCTGTATTCCCTCTATTTCAGCAATCTAGACATACCCATTTCATTAGTTTACACTTATTTGGATTGTATTCCAGCACCAATATTTTCCTCAACTCCTGAAATTTGTCAAGGTCTTCTTCAGTTTTTGCTCCTCCTTAACTTTGCCTCATCTGCAAATATTAATATGTATGAGCTCACTCCCTCTATGAGACCATTTACATAAATTAAAAAGGGCAATTGTCCTAGGATAGAGCTCTGTGGAACACTACTTTCTGCTTTTCTCCAGCCCGACATCATCTCTGATTATGATCTTTTGTTCATGTCTCTTGTACCCATTCCAGTACCTTTCCTGTTATCACTGCTTGTCTCTCCATCTTGTGTCTTTTGTGAGAAACTGTTTCAAAAGTTTTTTTTTGGTAGTCTAGGAAGATGCAGTCTACCAATCCTTCTAATGTCTTATTTTGGTGACCTATCGTATGATTCACTCAAGTTTGTTAAGCATGGTTTTCTATCTCTGAAGCCATGTTGTTCTGTTAAATTGACTCTCTCCAAATGTTCTACAATCCTTTTTTCTTATAATTTTTTCTCGATTCTTGTGTGGAATGCATGGTAATGATGCTGGTTTGTAATTTGGTGCTTCATGTCGGTCCTCTTTCTTGAATATTGGAACTACACTTGCCCTTTTCCAGATTTCTGGTAGCTCGCAAGTCTCTAGTGTAATGTTGAACATTATAGTTAAAGGGTAACACATGACCCCTGATTTTTCAGTAATCATGGCGATATCTGGCCTGGTCCTACTACTTTTGCTACATCTAGTTCCTCCAGGTGTCATTTTACCTCCTCTATATTAGCTTGAATTCTGTCTAGTGTTGAGTGGATACCAATCTGGTTCTGATTTGATTTGGCCAGTCTTACTGACACAATGTGGATGTGTACCTAATTGGGGGTACCTAATTTTCTTCATACAGTTGCTTGTTTTGTTGTGCATTTGATTTTCTGGTGCTTTTTCAGTTTTGAGTAGATATCAGTCTCAAGCTTGCCTCGCCTCACAGGGTGAGCCAGATTATGGTTTTTCTTCCAGTAGGCAACGATGAATCTCAGAGGTTTAGTATGATTAGCCAAGTCTTGGCAGTGTGAGAACTTGGGTCATGGAGCTACTGGGAACTCGCCAGACTAGGGCATTTAATTATATTCAGCTCTTGATAATTTTCAATTAATTCATTTCTCTCTCTCAGATACCACCCGAGAGTATTATACATTGACATAGACATCCACCATGGTGATGGAGTACAAGAAGCCTTCTATCTTACTGACAGAGTTATGACAGTGTCTTTCCATAAATATGGAAATTACTTTTTTCCTGGAACAGGTTGGTCATAAAATTTTCATTTTTTTAGGAGATAAATTGACTTTGTAATAAATCTAAATATTTATAACTGTAGGGTTTGTTTTTAATCTCGGTTCCTGGCCATATGCTGTACCTGTGGTGCCACCTAGTGGTAGCCAGTGGAGGAAGGAAGTTGCAATTTACCTGTTCCAACTGTTTATGACATTGAATTTCCTAATATTTTCTTGCAGAGATGATTTGTTTTGTGATGCTTTACAGCTTTCCGAGTGGTTCACTTTGGTAGTGGGTTAATTTTTTATCCTCAAATACTCTCTTGCTGTGTTGAGAGGACAAGATATTGGTGCAGGACTGTACTTGTACTTGGTAGGCCAAAGAAGCCTTAGGAGCCTGACATTTAAGCGTGGCCTTGAGGTGCCAGTGCAGAAAGCTCTGGGGAGATAATGATGTGCTTTCCAGAAAGGGGCATTTTATAATACTCGCTACTATTCTTTTTTTTTTTTTTTTTCATCCTGACAGGTGACATGTTTGAAATTGGTCATGAAAGTGGCAGATATTACTCTGTTAATGTACCCCTTAAGGAAGGTATTGATGATGCCAGCTACACACAGGTCTTCAAACCAGTCATTGAGGTAAGAATAATATTGCTTCCTTCTTTGCAAATAAGAATTCTATTCAAATGTAATGTAGAATTGCCTTAGTTAATTTTTTAATATAACACTTAAAATTGTTTGCTACTATATAGTAAATAGTGTACTCTTGACAATTTGAATTAATTGTGACCATTTCTGTTGTCATTTACATGGTGATTAAAATTACAGGGCTGTTTTAAGTTTTTTTTATTAAGGCCAAAATTATTTTCTTCTGGATAAGGCACTCTTGGTGTGTGTCCCTCATCCAAGAGCTAGGGTCCACCCATATCATTACTATGTGCACCACAAAGTATGTGACTTTCAGCTCTACCACGCAGGGTACTTTTCAAATGATCCTGCCTGGTAGTTGGCACGAGGAAACAGTGGGGTATCGAGGAGTCTAACTCAATACCCTACCAGAGGAAAATTGCACATTATGACATCCCTTATGCAAGCAATAATTGACAACATAAAACTCGGCAGATAACGCTCTGTTAGCAACTTAAAAGATAGGCTGTTGCCTGACCTCCACCAGGTCACACTACAGGATTGGAGAAGCCAACAACGCCTCACTTTTTATCTGGCATCTACCCACTACTATTTCAGCTTTGCAGAGGACGAGTAATTAAGTTTAATTTTTCCATGAAATTTTTGTTTCTATATAAGGGGTCCCATGTTTAAATTAAGTGTTGCCTTCATAATGTGGTGACCAGTTGTTTGTGTGTCTAGCTATTTCTGTCTGCTTCAAGATGGTTTTAGGGTTCTTTTGCTTAGTGCTGATCGTTGATGGCCTACAACACTCGGTCTCTTTATTATTATTTTTATTATTATTATTATTATTATTATTATTATCATTATCATCTGCCACTGCATATTTTTGGATGTCATTCTGGTTGCTTTATTTCTTCCTTTCATATTTTTTTGTCTTTGTGTGTTATTTTGGCAAATTTGTTTGTCTCTGGGTTCCATTTTTTTTTTTTTTTTTTTTTAAGCTCTGCACACTTGCCCTTTGGGCTTGTGCATTTTTGCAACTTAATTTGCCCCGTCATCTGCCTCATACTGCTCTTCTTTGTTTCCTGGGTCATTGTGACTTCTGTCAACTATGGTATAGTAAGGTCCTTTCTGATCACTTTGCTGAACTACTTGGAGGAAAGCAGACACGAGAGAATTCTCAATCCAGGCTTGAATGATCAAGTACATTTGACTACTCAAACACCCCTTTCATGCAATACTCTAAATCAAATAGACCATAAAGTACAGCTCTGATACTGTTAAAATTACCCCCTTATTAGTACCCTGCCTGGCTGCTAACACCACTTTTCACCCAGCTCATTCTCCTGATTTGCCACTCTGTAAAAAATCCAACCTCCTAATCTTACCAGAAACATAAGAATGCTAGCAACATGCTTAATCTATCAAATCTGATGCATAGAAAACATTTATGAGCTGTTACTTTTCTTAGTAAGTTGCATTTGTAACACTGATTACCATAATAAAATAAAATGTCCCATTAGTTGATAGGATGGATTGTGTCACCAGATGACAACACCAGTGATCTGCACAGCTAATAAGTGTTCCCAATTACTTCCTAAATTTGCCCAATGGGGTCTCTTTCTCTGTTAGGGTAGAAGTACATTAAGTTAGGATTTCTCCTCTTGATTCTCCCTTCCTAATGCAAATGCTTCCTGCACTGCTCCAGGCTTAGGCTTTTGGACCTAATATAATAAGCATGTGAGAAGATTTATAAGGTGTATATAGTATTTATGAACCAAAATAAAACATATTACAGTATTGAATAGAGAGGGGTCTCAGGAGAGTTATCATTGTATAGTGTTATTAGAATATTATTAACTGTTGTTGTGATGAACATATATAAAATATTGTTCTAGATGATGCAGATCCTAGTAAAACATGTTCATGTTTAGATGAGTTAAGTTTTATTGACATAAGAGATGACTACTAAAAGGGTCCCTGTAGTACAGTTGGGTTCATTCTCGACTCACAATTGAGAATTTTGGGTTCAAATCCTGTACGGGACAGAAATGGTTGGGCATGTTTCCTATCACTTAATACCACCTAGCAGTAAGCAGGTACACAGAAGTTAGTCGGCTTGTTGTTGGGTTGCATCCTGGGGAGGGTCAGTAATTCGACCCCCAGGGGAAAACCTTAATATAACCCTCAATATGTACTGTGTGTATAAATTGGCTGCCTGTTACCCGACACAAAGAATTATTATTATATAATTAAAATTAAATATGGATAAAAGTGAAGTCATGGAAAATAAAGTAGCTGGTTAGGAATAATAAGATAAGAAGAGACGAGACTAGAGGGTTACACGAAAGAGTATTAGTGCCTTCCATTAAGTAAGGATGCAAGATGTTGGTGTGGCATGAGTATAAAAAATCTTAAGCTAGATGTAGCTAATCTGAGGGGCATTTATAGTATTGTTATAGTGGTGCAAATATCAGCAAATAATCGAACAAAAGATAGTTTGAGATTGGTTGTAACATATTAAATAAATGTATGATAATAAATGGTGAAGAGAGCACATTTGAGTCAATTTCAAGGTGTGAAGAGAGGAAGGAAGGAAGGTCAAGAGAGCAGATGGACAGATGTGGTGAGTGAGTGAGAGCAGATATTAAGAGTGAAAGATATTAAAGAAGTGCTATGGAATGAGGCTAAATGAAATACATTTGCTTTGAAGTGACTGTTTGGAAAACAATTTTAAATGATTCACAGGAAGTCTTCACATGTGATTGTGGGAAGGGGGTAGGGTGCTGCTGTGGAGGTTTTTGTAGTGTGTGATGGTGTTGATTCTTCTTGTTGTGATATGATTTATTTGTATTTATTTCATCATCTTTTCCTATCCAGTATTGCTCTCCTATTTCTTCTGAGCTAATGCCTCCCTATCCATGAAAGTGATAATGGGGTAATAGTGATGATGTGAACTTTACAGACTTTCTGGTTTATTATACTATGGTTATGTAGATACCCCAACACTAAAATAATTGTTTTCCATCATCGTATTCCTACATGTGTATTATTACAATTAGGTCTCTGGAAATGTGTTGATAAAGGCTAATAGCCAGACTGTAAGAGATAGTGTGTGTACAATTTTGTACATGTGAAAATGATATATTAATGTTCGTTATTTTTTTTAACAGGCTGTTATAGAGTACTATAGTCCAACAGCAATTGTCCTTCAGTGTGGTGCAGACTCCCTATCAGGTGACCGCCTTGGTTGCTTCTCCCTCTCCACCAAAGGTCATGGGTAAGAATTTTTGCAGGCCTATTTACCAAGTGAATACTGTATGGAAAGATTAGTACTAACTAGCAGCTGATACTGGGAGTACCTGGGGTAGTAGTTAGTAACCATTGTAAGAAAAATCACGAGGACTGCAAAGAGATTCTTTCAATTGATTCCCTGTTTTTTTTTTTTTTTTTTTGCAAAAAGAAAAATTATTCCTTTTAATTAATAGCCTATGTCACCTGACCATCATTACAGATTGTCATTTGCCATTTGTTTGTTTTAATAATTTCCTTTTATTATGCCCTGTGTTGTTGGTCATCATGTCATGCGGTGACATGATGACGTCATGCTAGTTTGCTAACTTTTGTTTGGGGAGTTCCGTCCACTTGTTCGGCCTTCGGTCGCAATAGTTTTACCAGAATAGGGGTTTGTTTTGGGGCGCCTACCTTTCTGGGTGCCTGTCCCGGTCGATGGCAAACATAGAATGCTCCCAACCACAGGGGGGGTCTCTATAGGCCATTGCTCCTCGTTCCTCTCTAGAGGGGGCCAGGTTCTGGCTCGTGGTCCCCAGTAAGCAAGAACTCCATGCATTGACTGATGCCAGAAAGATATACATATCCATTCAGCCTGGATAGCTCTGGGGAACCTCCGGGACTCGCCCAGAAAATGGCGTTTAGTTACATTCAACGCTGGTTTTTTTGGTAAGGTACGAGTATAAGAGTGATATGACAGTAATCTCGGTGGTTACTGTAATAATCCAGGATTGACAGAAGTCTTCACCTTTTGCATTTCTTATGTGTGGGTTTAGGCATTCACATGGGTTTGGATTTTGAGAACGGCTGTTGAATTCAGAATGAAAATAAAAAATGTTTTTAGTTAACTGACTAAAAATTAATTGAAGTTATGCTGTATTGAAAGTACTGTAATACGTACTAGATATTTATAAAAATTTGCGAGAAACCAGTATTTCTGGAAGGAACCACTTGTGGCTTCCTGAAGCCCTATATACTAATAATGGTACCATCTACTAGGTTGCATCATACGTGGAATTATATGTGCCTACTGGGAACCAGCGCTAGATCCTGCCCCCCCCCCCCCCCCCCCCTCGCAGAGGCACAGGGTGTGGTGACCTTTATTTTCACCACCTCATCAGGGAAGGCAGCTAGAAAGTCGGCGAGTCAAAATAAACCACTGCTGGCTTCAATTGAGACTGAAGCCGTGAAACTGGCCAAAAGAACTCGCACAAGTATGTAAACAAACGATCCAATTTTCTCAGCACTAGCATGGGCTCATTCGCCCCACCTTTCGCACTCATTTGGGGGTAGGGGGGAAGGTAACCCATTATCAGCCAGCATCTCCAGCCTCAGTTCTATGCTTATGTAGTGCATACCGAGTCACCTCTCTTCCATGCTGGCCTTAGTGTTCTGTTTGTTTGGCTAATTGGTGGTGTTTGCCCTTGGTGGCCTTTCCTCTACACTGTGGTGAAGTGAGAGCCTAGTTTTAAGTATTTGGAGCTGCATATGCACAGGGTTTCCTTCTCTATGTACTCTGCTGCTGCCCTTGCAATGTCAGGATTATCTTCCCTGGAATGTTTGAGGGGACGGGGGAAGGTCACACCCTTAGAAATTCTCTTTGCTTGTGCTGGCCTTCACTCAGGGTGAGTCAGGGGTCTTGGGACTTTCCTGTCTTCTTGAGGTTATCTTGAGATGATTTCGGGGCTTAGCGTCCCCGTAGCCCGGTCCTCGACCAGGCCTCCTTTTTGTTACACACCCCCCAGGAAGCAGCCCGTAGCAGCTGTCTAACTCCCAGGTACCTATTTACTGCTAGGTAACAGGGGCATCAGGGTGAAAGAAACATTTTGCCCATTTGTCTCTGCCTCCACTGGGGATCGAACCCGGAACCTCAGGACTACGAATCTGAAGCGCTGTCCACCCAGCTGTCAGGCACCCTCACAGACCCTCACAGCTGTCAGGCACCCGAGTCTTAACTCGGGTTTGGGGTGACATTGGCTGGCGGGGCACGCTGGTGGTTTGTGCAATTCTCTTGGTGTGGTGCCATGTTACCCAGGCTGTGTTGGTTTATTTGCAGGTTCAGCATAACGATCCCAGCTCCTGGGAGTCCTGCTGGGTTTACCCTTCAGGCCTTCGAATTCACCTGTAGGTTTGGCGGTTCCATGGATACCTTCCCCCCCGGAATAGGTCAGGACAGGGTTTAGCTTGGGATATGACTCGTCCAGCTCCGGAGATTATACCTTCTGTTTTGGATGTGAAGGCAATCGAGCCGGTTGGTTCCGTTGAGCCTTCTGGGTTCTTTTTTTCAGCTAGCCCCTCCTTCCTTTGAAACCTCTACCTTGGACTCCACTTTTCTGTAATAGGCAATGCATGAGGATGCTGGCTCTGCCCCAGGGCCCTCTTTTTGCAGCTTTCAGGACATAGGGGAGTCGGATTTGGTCTCTCTTGTACATTTTGACTCTACATTGTTCCTGGTTTCCTCTGAGTAGGGTCTCACTTTTTGCAGGGGAAGGGTTTTTACATGCTTCCCTTCCTGTATGAGTATGTTTTGGGTGTTGCTTCCCCAAGGTTTAGTTTAACATGCCTTTGAGCCCATTGGGATTGTCCTTATGGAGGTTTACTTCCTCTTGGATCCCTCCTTCGGTGACTTGGGAGGCTCTTTTAACATACCACCTTTGAGATCCGGATTACACCTCATTGATGGACTCTTCCTCTTTTGAGATTTTAGTTTTATTTGTATTGGATGGGTTAATAGGTTCTGAAGTCTTTGTTGTTGGCAGACAATTTTTTTTTCTCACTGGTGCATGGCACAATTTTTGTCATACATGCATGCCGGTGGCATGAGGTGTTAACTGTGCTGCAGATGTTTCTCAGGTTCTGTCTTCTGTGGCTCTCAATGACTGACTGTTTGTTTGTTCCCACTCTTTCTCAGGACGTGGCTCTTGTGCAGCTCCATGCCCAGGTTCCTCTGCTTTTGGTGGCACTTGTGGTGGATGACCTTTGTGCTTTGTCTGCATTTATGAAATGCCAATTTCAGGGTGAGTCCCAATGGCTCTCTGATCCCTTCCCTCCATTCCAGGTCATGGTGGGGGTGCCTACATCTGCCCTAGAACTGAGGGTAGAGATACCAGCTGACGGTGGGCTACCTTTCCTCACCCGTAAACGAGTGGGAGAAGTGGGGGCAAATGAGCCCTTGCTAGTACCGAGAGAATTCAATCATTTGTTTACATAGTTGGGGGAGTTCTTTCACTGGGTTCTGAGGCTTTGGTTTCTATTGAAGCCAACAGTGGGTTGTTTTGACTCGCTGACTTTGTTTGCCTTCACCAGTGAGATGATGAAAATAAATGTCACTGCTCCCTGTGCCTCTGTGAGAGGGGGGGGCACGTTCTGGCACTGGTTCCCGGTAGGCCAATAAAATGGTGCGGCTGATGGAACCTAGTAAATGGTACCTTATCAGTACAGTGTAGTGTGGTAGCTTCGGGGAGTCACTGAGGCTCGCCCAGAAATTGGTATTTCATTACATTCAATGCTGGATTTTATGTGCGCTATTTGGAATAATAATAAACACATTAATTATCATTCATAAAATTTTCAGTGAATGTGTAAGCTTTACAAAGAAGTTTGGTGTTCCATTGCTAGTACTGGGTGGTGGTGGCTACACTCCCAGAAATGTGGCCAGATGTTGGGCTTATGAAACAGGGTTGCTCGTTGACACAGATATGCCTACGGAAATTCCATATAATACAGGTACAGTAATTTCTTTCATTTCCATTGTATTGTTTATACATGTGATGTGTGTTTCACATCTTGCTCAATTGTATATACTTTTTGGTCCAGTATTATTATTATTATTACTAAAATATATATTTCAGAGTACTTCCAGTATTTTGCACCCGATTTCTCCCTTCACCCGGAAGTAATAACACGTCAGGAAAATGGAAACAGTCGACAGTACCTGGAAGCCATTGTTAAGCATGTGTACGATAACCTCAGAATGGTTCAGCATGCACCAAGGTAATGTAAAGTAAATTAAATAAGTTGTATTTTAGTATTTTGTGTTTGGTGAATTCATTCATTTTTGAAAGTTGACCACTGAATAAATAAGGTTGAGTTAATAGTACCTGTAGTTTTGGAAGATATTATAAATTTATGAAACTTAATGATATGTGGTGTATATGCAAGTTAGAAGAATAAGAGGAAATGATTGGTGAGAAGAGGAAGTAATAAAAGTTGCTAAAGATAAGAAAAAGGTATGATTTCTATGGATACAAATGAAATAAGTGTGACTGCAGAGAGAGTTTGAAACCAATATGTTGTCCTGTCTAACTATGCATGATCCCTGTTACATGTTTCTGTTCAAAAAGGTGCTTTATATTTGTATTTCAATCTTGACTGCTTTCTTGACTGCTCCTCTGTTTTCTTTTGGCTGATGCCTGCCTGCCTTTTAAAAGTGGATTCTGTTCATATAGTATACAGTACTTCATAAACTTAGACTTTAAGAAAATATTTCTTTATAAATTTAATTCTGTACATGTACTTTTAAACCAATTTTTGACAATGGTTCTTTTCAAAAGTGAGGTTTAATTCAATAAAAATACAGTATTAATATGTTTGCCTTCCAGTCGTGATGTCTATTTTATTTTCCACATCATTTACATCCTTCAACTGCTTGCTCATTAAGAACATAAAATGTTTTTATAATGTTCATTTTATGTTTGTGAACCTATTTGTAAGGTTAGAACATGGATTCTGGAATAAATGTATGCAAAATTTAAGAATTTAATAAACAAAAAAGGGATAACTAATGTTAGAGAAACAAGTTGAGGATATTTTTGGTCAAATGACTCAATTATGGGTTACCAAACACAAAGCTAAACAGAAAATGTAAATGTGAAGACTGTATACATGCTAACTATTTTCCAAAATGGTTCTTGCCAATTAGGCACAGTTATGCTGTTCTGACTAAAAAGTGTATATAAATTTTCTCACCACAATACTATTTTCTTCTTTATCTAGTGTCCAGATGCAGGATGTTCCAAATGATGGATTGAACATAAAGGAAGAAGAACAAGAGCTTGATCCAGATGCTCGTCTGCATCTCAGTGAAGAAGACAAAAGGTAATAAATTATATATAAATGAAAATCATTTGAGGCAATGGAGTGCCTTGAACTTGAGATCGGGTGATTTCTAGATGCCTGCCTTAACTGGCTCGGCCACAGTAGCCGAGTTCTCTGGGATGTTCTGGAGGCCCCAAACCGGGGCCCAACCAGGGTTTTACAGTTAACCCAACCACACTTGGGCCTATGGTAATGGCATTCACTCTCTTACGTCCCATTTAGATCGCAATTTCATTGATATATCATGCCATTGTGATTGTTCAGTGGTCCAATGGATTCCTCCAACAAACCTGCTCTTGCCATGTGCGAGTTCAAGGTTTGTGAATCGTCTGTGTCATGTGGCAATGCTCATTACTTTAATCTCCACCATGCTGCCTGTTGGATTGGTGACATCTTTGGCCCCGAGTTGTGTGAGACTTGTTTTCATAATGTTACTCTCCATACAGACCTTCCTGTTAACGTTCAGGGTTTTCAGGCAGCAACTGTTTTGTGTTTGTGGCTTTTGTTTTGCAGCAGTCTAAGGTGTGCGCCCTGTTGTGTTGGATGTTCCAAACCTGTTCTGGCTGGTGTTTAGGGACTCTGATTTGGGGGTGATGGTTATTTCAAACGGGGTTCTGTCCTTACCTCTTCCTTTCCCGTCGGGCTGCGTCCTCCTTCCTCCTCCTGATGGTGCACTCTCCTTCCGTCCTCCCTCCCTCCCTCCCCTGTTTCCGGCCCTATGGCATCCAAGCGTTTCAGGGTCGGGGCAAGGTTTAGCTTGGGATGTGGCTTGTCAGCTCTGGGGTTTGCCACATTCAATTTAGGTGCAGATGATCCTGCTGAGGCTTCTGGGTCTTCTTTTCAGCCAGTCCCAGCTTTTGAAGACTTTCCTTTGTATTGTACTTCACTTCTCTATCCTGGACAGTGTGTGTGTGTGTGTGTGTGTGTGTGTGTATGATGGCTCTTCCCCAGTGCCCTCTACTGCAATTTCCAGGGCTTGGGGAGAGTCAGACATGAACCTTTGGGTTCCACTTGATCCTACGTGGACTCTTTTTGCCTTCTGCAGAGGGTCGAGGGTCTTCTGCCTCTGGTTTTTTTTTTCGAAGACCCTCTGGGTTTTTTTGTATTTTCCCTCCCTGTACAAGTTTGATACAGGTGCAGCTTCTCCCTCCCCCCCCATCCCCCCACGGGTTCATTTTTGGGTACCTTAGGGTTTCTCAGGTTAGTCTTTCTTGAGGTTTCTGTCCTCTGAAATTCCCCTGGTGGTGCTCAGAAGGCCCGCTGTACAGGCCTGCTACGCGGCCGGGATTCTGCCTCGTTGATGAACTCATCCTTTTTTGAGCTTGTGTATTATCCTTATTGATTGCATTATGAGGTTCTGGAATTGTCTATGCTGGCAGACAGCCCTCTGTGTTCACTTTGGGCATGGCACAGTTCTATCATGCCCATTAACTTGTGTGACATGAGGTTTCTTATGTGTTACAGGTGTTTTTGGCTGGGTGGGCAATTCCTTTGCCACTCTCAGCATCTGCCTGTTTGCTCATGCTCTCCTTAGAAATGTTGGGTTTTTGCAGTTTCATGCTCGGGTCCTCATTGTCGGCTATGCTGATTGCAGAGGTCCTTCATGCCCATTTGCATCTGGGTGCTGTCATGTGTTCCTTGAGCCTTCTGGTGCTGCATTCAAATTGGCTCACAGAGGACAGTGGGACTCTGCAGCATTCATCTTTGTGGTTGACTCCTTCCTTTGGCTTTGCTGGACGTTTGGGTGCCCAGACATGAACCTCTTCGCATTGGCTTGATTGCAGTGCCTTCCCACTGCCGAAGCGCTGTTCCCTTGAGTGCAGTACATGCCTTTGACTGGACTGGACTGGTCGAGTCGTGGGTTTCTGTACCTCTTCACCCAGGTCCAGCTCCTGCCCTGGATCCCGGCAAAAAGTTCTCAAAGTCCTAAATGGGGCGGGTGATCCTTCTGTCTACCCTGTGGCTAGCCTAGCCTTGGTTTCAGGTGCTGCTTGTTCGATGTCCAAACCAGGCCATTTTCCCGCCATTTTGCCTCTTTCAGAAGATCTATCCGATGTTGGACTTTGCTGGTTCCACCGTCTCTAATCTTCATGTTGGGGGTTTCTGACGAGTGTTTATTGCCATTTCTATGGTGATCAGGTGGCTGGTCTGTTGTAGTACTACCTGTGGTCCTCTGCAACAATATGAAGTTGTGTGGCATGCTTTCTACCATTTCATCTCCCTTCGTCGTTGTTCTTCGGTGTCAAAATGGGTTATCCCGTCTTTTCTTTTTTGTCTTTTTCTGGATTGGCATCTTATGCTGAATACTGTTGCCTCGTATCGTGTGGCACTGGCAGAGCCACTCCAGCTTGTATTTAGGTTTGATGCTTCCTCAGCCCCCATTTCACACGCTTTTCAGGCCCTATTGTCCAGCTCGGTCTGGATATGTGTTTTTTGCTGCTTTGTTTCAAATTTCTCTTGTCTCTGGTTGTCATGTGGCTGATGTTCGTGCTGTCCTTCGGCACCAGGGTTTTGTTCCTTCTGTCCCGGGGCCGGGTTTGTTCATTTACGACCAACTCCTTCTTTTCTGGGGAAGGATGAGTTGGCTTCAGGAGGGATCATTGATTGTTGCTGCTTGGTTGTTTTGGCCAGGCATGCATCCTGCTCTGTGTCTGGTAGCAGCTCCTTGCTGCTGCTTTTGTGTCACTGCCTCCATGTCAGTGGACTCTTTGTGAGGTACTTTGGTTTGCCTGGTTCCCTGTTCCAGGTCTAATGTTTCTAAAGTCATCCATGGTGTCATCATGTCTTGCCAGCCTGCGTTCTGCACTTGTGCTCCATGATGTTTGTCGGTAATCTGTTGGCTGTGTTTGCCACTATACCATGCACCAATATTTCAGTGGGGAGGTTGGGGGGTTGGTAATTATACAGTCACAAGTGTCCTGGTGGCCAGGTTTCTCGTTTCTGTTCCTGGTCCTCATCGTCCTTTTTTGCTTTGGGGCTGCCACAAGGGGCTATCCCCAGAAAACTAGCATTGAATGTAATGATATGCCAATTTCTGGGCGAGCTCTGGTGGCTCCCTGACATCCTCGCGCACAGGGCGTGTTTCCATCATTATAGAACTGAGGGTAGAGCAGGTAGCTCTCACTCTTTCTTCATATGACAGGAAGAGAGGTGGGGTGAATGAGCTAGCACTAGTTTCATGAATTTTCAATTGTTTACATTATTTGGGGACTTCTTTTGGCAGTTTTAAGGCTTTTGGCAGTTCTAAGGTCTCGCCTCTCACCAACAGTGGTGTTTTGTTTCAATAACTTTGAGTGCTTCCCTGGTGATGGTGAACATAATTAAAATTAAGAGGCAGTTTTATTATAATGCCACTGCTCACTGCTCCTCTCTAGAGGGGGCCAGGTTCTGGCTCGTAGTTTCTGGTAGACTGTAAAGAACTCCGTGATTGATGACGCCTAATAATTTGACACTATATCTGCATTGTAGCTTCAGGAAGCCACCAGGGCTGACAGAGAAATTGGAGTTTCATTACGTTCAGTGCTGTTTTTTTCACATATCACATCTTTGGCATTTGAACTAGACAGATTCTAGTATTTTTCCATTGACCCTGATTTCTTCCATGGAAAGTCCTTTAACACTGTCCCTCCCTGATGCCGCATAATGTTCTTAAAACCAAAACACCCAGAGTTCTTGATGACGGAAATGGCATCATGCAAAATTTTTTTGCACTGTCTTAATATTAAGTATAAACATTGTGGGTGAATGAGTTTAACATTGGGTTGTGTGCTCACCAGGAATTCTCGGCCTACCTTCCAGTGTGATTTAGGCGCCTTGCCGGGCCAGCGAAAGTGTTAATCTATTGTATATTGATCTCTTTCTCTCTCTGTTTTGACAGAGTTGAACCAGACAATGAATTTTACGACGGTGAAAAGGATAATGACAAAGATGAAGATCCTGAGGTTACACCTACCTCAGCAACAAAAAACTAATTGAAGTGGAGAGAAAGTGAGTGTGTTCATGCTGCGCACATAAAACACTTGGAATTAAAAGAGAAACTTGGAATAATCTGGAACAAAAGCAAAATTTGTGTATGTACAGTATAGGCGAGGAAGGTTTGGAGCAACTTATGATGTATTACAGGATTTATAATGTATTACCAATAGTAATGAAACCAAGAGACAAGAATTATTATCCTTTTATAAAAAGTACAGTATATAGCATTTTAAGACATTTCATTCATGTAATTCAGAAAAAGCACAGTTTTTATAATTGTGTTTTGTCATTAATTGTATTAAATGTTCCAAAATACATTCTTGCCAGATGATTATTTATGTACAAATATTGGATATAAGTGTTTTAAATACGTGGCTTTTAGATAATTTATGTATGAGAATGCTTTTATAATTTTGTACGTGTTTACATATTTCTTTTAACTGTAATGTGTTGTGAAAGTCTGTATCTTAGTACTGTAATTTGACGAACATATTTGGTCTGTTAACTCTGCTTGACCATACAATTGTAATTTATGTATTTTTATAAACAAATAGAAAATTAATAAATTAATTTATATTCCTTAGAATTTGGTGCTTAAAGATATATGTGTGTGTACTCGCCTAGTTGTACTTGCGGGGGTCGAGCTTTGGCTTTTGGTTCCGCCTCTCAATTGTCAATCTACTGGTGTACAGATTCCTCAGCGTCAAGAGCTCTATTATATCTACACTTGATACTGTGTATGGAGTCAGCCTCTACCACATCACTTCCTAGTGATGTTTAATAACTACAGTACTCTGACATTGAAAAAGTTCTTTCTAATGTCTCTGGCTCATTTGGGTACTCGGCATCCACCTGTGTTCCCTTGTGCATGTACCACCCGTGTTAAATCCATCCTGGTCTACCCTGTCAATTCCCCTGAGAATTTATATGTGGTGATCATGTCTCCCTGAGCTCTTCTGTCTTCCAGTGTCGTGAGGTGCAGTTCACACAGCCTTTCCCCTTAACTCATGCCTCTTAGTTTTGGGACTAGCCTAGTGGCACACCTCAACTTTTTTCAGCTTTGTCTTGTGCTTGACAAGGTACAGGTCCCATGCTGAGGCCGCATACTCCAGGACTGGTCTTGCATATGTGGTATACAAGGTTCTGAAGGATGTGCGTGTGCAGTGGGGGCTCACCCATAGGAGATGCTGAGCTGCAGTCCCCCAAGACACTCACTGCCAAGTGTATGACTATCATCCTCACACTAGAATAATAAACAACTAACAAATGTGTCATAACTAAGTCTTCCTATGTTATTTTCAATATATTTCTAACTGAATTTTGAAAATTGTCATTTAAACAAGACAAAAATAGAAGTTTAATGCTGTATGATAGTTTAGGATTTATTGGTTTACATCTGGGAATGTTGAGCTGCACCAAGTGCAGCCCAGTCACTCCGTCAGTCCCGTGTTTAGCGCTTACATTGAGTGAGGGTGGTGTCACGTGTTGGTAGTGGTCATCATCTTTGAATACTGTACTTTATAAGTTTAATTATTTTTTGACAAACAATAACAATGGACAGTAGAGAGAACTCGGTGAAATATTTATAAAGTATTAACTTCTTGCAGCTGACATTAAATGAAAAGATAGAAATAAAAGCAAAAGAAAGACATGCCAGTTTTATCCATTTTACAGTTACAAACTTGGTTATATACCAACCCGTCCTCTTAAAAATAACGTCACTTTTGGCTCGTATATATGCTATGGCCAAAAGTAGACGTAATTTGAAATGAAATCGACTCGCAAAAGTGACTTACTGTCCCGTTTTCTGTTTGTCGTCCCGCCTACTCGGAAAGGTTAGGAGAGGAATCTTTCAATTAATGTTTTTCATGACGTTTTGAAACTTTATGAGAATTTCCTGCCCACCTAACCTACCAGAGGACCCTTAACGTACTGTGATTGAAAAAAAAAATCCAAATTTATTTTCATTTTTTTTTATTTTCAAATTACGCCCACCTTCGGCCATACTGGCAAACGGCCAAAAGCGACGTTATTTTTAAGAGGACAGGTTGTATATACAGGGGTACAAAGTTATTTGTTACAGGCTATTGAGTTTCTTAAACTCCTCAGATACAAGGCAGGAACCCTGAACGTAGTGTATTTCCCCTCTGTATTGCCAATCGGAGGTACTAGAAAAGATAGCTGGAAGCTCCAAGATCTGTTTTGATTACCTTAAAACCCAGATCCTTCAAAATCTAGTGGCACTCTTTCCCCTCCCCCCCCCCCCCCCCCCCCGACACCAAGTGTGTCTGAAGCAATGGGGGCAAAATTATAATGGTGATCCCGTTATCTGTACTTAAGAGACTTGGTAGATTTCCTGTGGGTGGCAGCACCACCTGATTGTGCAACATTGAATTCAATGTAGGTGTTACCCAAGGTTGATATTCACATGTATTCCCACACCAATTGCATGCCATTCTTCCAGAAGTCCATGGTGATAAAATATGAATGACCAACAAGAGTGTCAGAGTAATGGGGCTTACTTGTGGACTTCAGCTGTAGTAAGGTTCCTCTTAATGATGTTAACTTTACTGTGCCTCAAGTGACATCCCCCTGTGCTTTAGCAGAGCAGGCTTTGCTGGCCTCGCCTGTCAGCCACCGTCTCGCTACAAATACACCTATATTTGGTATTGATTGAGGCAACAAGGCAGAGAGCAACTGCAATTTTGAAGGCCTGTGTGAGACGTGTGTCAGTTGTCAACACTGGAGGGTTGCTAATAAGATGTTGCCCACAGGGGAAGCTGGTACTGCTGTATGGTGAGCAATGTCATGTGGTGGTGTTACAGTATCTAGGTACACTGCAGCTGCTCAGTCTACACTGGGGCCATTCCAGCTAAAATGCTTGTGGACTCTAGATGGTGGTAGATGGAGTGCTGGGGGTGAAAGCACTCCATCTTGCTTATAAGCGGCTGTACCCACATAATGGTACAGTGTATAAAACTGGGATTGTGTACCCCCATGCTAGTAGGCCTTGGTAATTTTGTAAAGTTTCCTTCAACAGACTGTCAAGTGTTGCAAAGGAGTAAAGGAGGGTTATTACAGAGATTTGTTTTGCTGTGCAAATGCTGAGGCCCCCAATACTGAAAGGAAGGGAGGCTTGTTTCCATATGTAATTGAAAGAAGGTTAAGGTTTTTTTTAACAATGATTTCAGTAGGTAGTCATATTCACCTACCTAGAGAAAATTGTAAGTTGGCAAACATGTTAGAAAGTAAGTTAACCTGTGGAGGGACAGTCATCTGGTGATGAGGTAAAATGTAACATGAGCGTCAGTCTTGGAAGGTCGATGATCATCTTATCAAGGACCTCATCAATAGCCTTCAACCCAAGAGGGGCAACTAGGAGTGTGCTGTCTTCAGGTTTGGTTATAAGGATGTCAGGGAAAACGTCCTTTATTTGACCTATAATGCACTGGTTGGAAGAAGTTATTTCACACAAACAAAAGTTCAGAGTTAGGCAGAGTTGCTGTTTGCTCCTGAATTATTCTGATGTTCCCTAGAAGGTAGTCTTAGGAACCAGCTAGGGTACCATCATCCAAGAAACAGGTGATAAGCTCACAGGACAGGTTTTTGGTTACTTCTTGAATGGTTATGCAGAGAAGGAGAGGAGTTAGGACCACATTGTTGTATACCTTCTTGTGCATCAATTTCATGTTTACCAAATAGTACCTGTAGGTTTTTACTGTAGCATAAATTTACAAATTAGTAGAGGGAAGGGAAATGGCGATGAACAGCGTGGAGTATGTATTGGATACCTTCTTTCCAGGTTGAAGGTATTTTTAAATCCAGTTTGATAAGGGCCTTTTCATTTGTAATATTAGCAATTTAAGCTTAAGCTGTGTAGACTGCTGCTTGGGGCTCGCTCGGGGAGTAGAAGAATTCCCAAAACCCCTCTTCGGGTATGTCACAATCTTGTGGAATGCTGAATCCAAGCTATTTTGATTTCAGTATGTCGGCTGTTGCCTGGCTTACTGTTTTCATAACAGCCGCATCTAGAGTTATATAAAAATACGTATTTTTGGAGTAGGTATTGTTAATATATACGGAATGGAACACAATAGCATTATTACAATTGCTAATTTTCTTATCAATATTTTTCATTTTATATAAATACCTTCTACCATCTAAAATTCCAAATAAAGAAACTAGATCACTAAATCTCAACATTTTATTACATTTCGTCAACAGCATGTCATCTTCAGACATATGCACATGGTAGAGAACACAAGTACTGTATACTATACGTGTGTTATAAGTTAGTTTACTAACATTGCATGCATAAACATGCAGAATTAAACGTGGGACGAACTACCGGGACCCTCAAAAGTGGGAGGCAGTAAAAAAAGTAACTATTCCTAGAAATAATGAAGTGTACCTTTGACTAAGGAAAAAAAGATAGTTATTCAACCATATGAATCTCTCTGGTGCTCTTTGCTATAAATCTCCTATCATGCAGTAATCTTACTTGGATTACTGTATTCAAGCATGGATACCTCAACTTTAGAAGGTCAAAGCTGCTTTGGAGAAAATTTAACCACAGGAAACAAAAATAATTCCAGAACTAAGTCATCTGACGTACCAGGAACGGCTGATGTCCAAAGGGCTAACAACACTTCAAACCAGACATGGAAGGGCGGATCTCAATGAAAGTTTTAAAATACTGAACAATTTGAAAGATGCTAATCCGGAAAATTTCTTCAAAAGGTCAGATATAACAAACAAGCAACAGCGGTGTCAAGCTCAACAAGCCACAATGTTGGACTGAGAACAGGAAATGCTTTTTTACCCACAGGGTTATTAACCCATGGAACCGCCTACCCGCCGAAGCCGTAAATGCCAAAACTCTGCTGAATTTTAAAATCCACCTGGAAAAAATCAAGACAAATGGTGGGGACCTTTGACAAACCGCCAACTTCCTGTCTTCATCGAGGCCAATAATGTTAGTGGCTTTCAGGTAAATTCAGGTAAAGTGCTCCCCGTAAGCACTGATAGGCAAGTAAGCGCTTTATTAAGTCACTGATAGGTAAGTACCATCATATTTTGCAACACATTCACAACCAAATAGCGGAACGAATTGTGGGGTTCAGTTCCTGGACCCGTTATATGCATATGTAACTTTCATAGGATGGGTATGGGGTGCATAATAAATATAATAAACTAAATATTTACTTGAATTAAATACTTAATATATTATTCTGCTACATATGAACGTTTATTCAAGACATAATGGTTGTTTTTATCCGACACATTTTATGCATTTTGTGAATATTAATAATTATACTTTTCTTGGTTATTTCTAAATAATATTTGATATAAGCAAAATAAAAGTACTTCTTATGTATGTTTACAAATTATTTAAACACGAAATGTGACGTAAATCCAATTTTACTTAATACAATTACTCATCATTGGTTACCACGAACGTTATTTTATATATATACCAATGTTTTAATAATTTATTGAAACATATGAATGTAACAATAAATGTCGAGTTTATAATTGCCTATTATTATTATTAGTGTTGCTATCAGAGAGATTGTTAGTACGTGAGTGTTAGAGAAGTAGCGGCAAGTGAAGCAACTGTAGCGGCCACACCGGGACAACCAACACCAAAACACACAACTCATTCCCTTCGGCTGAGGACCTCTTCTTAATATTCTCCACGATGAGTAGCAAAGTTGAAACATATCTCACGGAGAAAAAGAACTCATCTCCAGCCGAACTCTCGAAAAAGTTCGGAGAAATGGAAGAGTTTTATAATAAAAAGTAAGTGAAGAGATGCGAGCTTCACTCCCCATGGAGGTAAAACTATCCCACACTTGATATAATTGTGAAGGTAGCTAAAAGTTACAAGTTTTGAGTGAAGGAGTAAGGCATGTGAGCACCAAGAGTGTTGTATATTTCACCCGCATCTTAAAATCTGCTATTGCATACAGTATTAATGAAATGACCTGGCAGGAGTGCAAATTCTTACCAAGCCAAATTTATTACTTGATCCATTGAAACTTTAAATATAAATTATAACCTACTGTACCCAGGTTTATCAGGTTTATCATCGGTAACATTGCAGCTGTTAGGATATGTATAATGTATTAGACTACAGGGTACTTGTATTTTTATTATTGTTAGCAATATGTTTGTATTTTACTCACAGTATATGTGTGAATGTATATGTGTTATATGTGAATGTGAAGAACCTCCTAACTAATCTGTATTGGCCAGTTGGTGCTTTGTTTTGATACTAAGTAATGTAACACAATGCAATGTTATGATGTATTCAACCCAAAAACAGTATGAAGGCAAGTTTGCGATTAGTGTGATGTGCGATGACATCCTATGTGAGTCAACATGTTTTGGATTCTTATGTTCTAAATGGTAACTGGTTCTGATGTTAAATACTGGCCCATGAGCACTGTGGTATCTATATACCCATCTGGGCCAATAGTTTCCAAACGTCACCCCCTTCCGCAGGGGATGTTCATTGATATTACACTAATAGTAAACCCACTTTTGCAGTGTTTTCTGGCTGAATCTATTACATGACTTTACATTTACATTAAAATTGTTGTATTTAAGCTGTACTGTGTGATTAGAGACCTGACTTTTAAGATAGTCTTAAAGTTTAAGATAGCTCCCCGGCCGACCGGGGGAGCCGGTCGGCCGAGCGGACAGCACGCTGGACTTATGATCCTGTGGTCCTGGGTTCGATCCCAGGCGCCGGCGAGAAACATTGGGCAGAGTTTCTTTCATCCTATGCCCCTGTTACCTAGCAGTAAAATAGGTACCTGGGTGTTAGTCAGCTGTCACGGGCTGCTTCCTGGGGGTGGAGGCCTGGTCGAGGACCGGGCCGCGGGGACACTAAAAAAAAGCCCCGAAATCATTTCAAGATAACCTCTCAAGATAGTCTTTGTGTTAAGTTTAACTTGGTTAGGTTAGGATGATCACCCCACTGTACAAATTGAACAGAAATTCCCTAAGAATAACACAAGCCTCTTAAAATTAGTATTAGTTTCTGCCTCACCAGACTAGGGAGAAGATTGGTCGAAGAAGAACTTGATATTTTACCTACACCTAAACATATATTTGTAGGTGGTGAAGAAGGCAAGTTGAATTCTTTAGTTGTTACCAGGGAGAAAGTTATTAAACAAAAAATTAAAGCCGATGAAGTCTTTGCCAAGGTTCTAAAAGCATGAAGAAACAAACTAAGTGAGCCTTTGACTTCTGTATCTAATGAATCGCTACCGTTGAAAAGTACTGGAATCCCGGAGAGCTGCAAATGTTGGGGTAATCTTTAAGAAGGGAAATAGATCACGTGTGTCAAATTATCAGCCCTCCCTGCTGATCAATAACAGCAAAACCTATTCATTTACATCTTGAGAAACACAATAAAGGTTTCACTACTGTACAGTACATGGTTTTACAAAAGGACTGCCCATGTTTGACAGATTAGTTTTCGTTCTTTTCCAAGATTCTTAAGACAGTTGATAGTGGAATGGATTGTCAATGAGTACCTTGATTTTGCAAAGTTTTTGATATTGTTCCTCATGAAAAACTGATTAGAAATGTAGAGGCTCATGGTATTGGGGGAGATATTGCACAGGGCATGGTGATTCAAACATCATACATTGTCATGATTCATACGTCAGGCTGTGAGCAGCCACATCCAACAGCCTGGTTGACCAGTCCAGCAACAAGAAGGCCTGGTTGAGAACCTGGCTGCGGGATGGGGTGACGCCGAGCCCCGAAATCATTGCAAGGTATGGTTATTTCAAAAGAAACAGAGTTATTATAAATGGAGTCAAGTCAGAGTTGGAAACTATTGTAAGTGGAGTACCTCAGTGCTCTTTCCTGAGACCTAGTTGTTATAGATACGGAATTGAAGAGCAAAAATTTGATATTTGTGACATAAAAAAGTTGAGCAGGAAATAAACTCAGAAGACTGAAAATTCCTTCAAGGCTATCTAGATAGACTTTTGAAATGGATAAAAGAATGGCAGATGCAGTTTAATATTGCAAAATGTAGGGTTCTAAAGTTAGGAAATGATGATAATTACCAGATATCTGTGTGATAGTGTTCAAATTGTGAAGTCTGAATGTGAAAAAGATCTGGGAGTCATGATAAGTAGAGATGAGAAAATCCATAGGAGCCGTGATGGGGACTCAAACCTATGCACTGGGTATTCCCAGACGTAAGCTCTAAATGACTATGAAAACATTATCATGGCTCCTGTGGATTTTCACATTGATATACAACAATAATGTGATTTCTCTGTGTATTAGTAGTGATCTTAAGCTAACCAAAAAAATGCATACATGTTAGGAATAAGACAAATATGATACTATACAGTGCCTAGACTTATTTCCAGAATCGTTAGCAATGAAACAACTACTGTCCTGTAATGTTATTTTTTCAGCTTTATTTTGCAGCTCAATTTTAGTCACCGTGCTGTATAAAATGGACATCGATTCACTTGAATGAGCTCAGCAAAGAATGGTAAAGTTATTACCATCCTGGAAATTAGAAACTTTTCATATGAAGAGAGAATATAAAAGCTTAATTTATGTTCCCTAGGAAGGTGAACAATTAAGGGTGATACAATTAAAGTATTCAAGTGGATAAAAGTATATAAGAAAGGAGATGGTATTAAGATGTTAAATACATCAGCAGAAAATAGAACATGAAACAATGGACATAAATTGGATGAGTTTTAGAGTTAGGAAAGACTTGGGAAAATACTGGTTTAGAAATAGGGAGGTTAATCTACGGAACAAATTACTGGGTAACAATATAGATGTGGGATCACTTTGATTGTTTCAAGTGTAAGTTGGGCATACAGGTATATATTTGTATGAATTTGGGTGAATATAAACAGGAACTGCCATGTATGGGACAAAAGTCCTGCAGTTTCCTTAATTCTTAGGTTCTTTTGTTCTTATAAAGCAGAGGACAAAATATAGGGAAAGTTGGAGCAGAGGCAGTGTTAGTGTGTTGATGCTGCCATCCAGTGGTGGTTAGTGAAAGTGACATAGTGGAATTTGCATAGAATTGAAGGCTTAGCAATTCCAGAGTTGCATCTGGGACAAGTTTTTTTTATTTATGGGAAACAGTTTTTATGTCTACATTCTATGCTAGATCGAGTATTCTCAAGTGTCTCACTAGCTTTTCTGTCCTAATGGAGACAGTTTGCAAAATTCCTCGCCACACTAGTTTGAGAAGTTGACTGCGGTGACTGTGACATTCCTTTTTCAGGTTATGGCACCAGTTAACCCTGGCTCTTCACAAGCTGGTGAAGGAGCCATCTATGCGAGAAGGTACAGAACTCATCAAATTGTACAACAACTTGATCATTGAGCTGGAAAACAAGTAAGCATTTGTGGCACTTTTTATTTACATTTAAAACTATATTCTTAATGTTGAATCTGAACTAAGTTCTTAGCATTAAATTTTTCCTACTCTTAAGTTGAACCTCCACAAAATGTCAATTAAAACATATTAACTAGATTTTCTAAAAGTTGGTGCAATATTTGTTTGATAGAAGTGAAGGCTTTCCTAAGTTTGATCGTGGTGTGGCCACTATTTAGACATTTTTAGATTTAAATATTAAATAAGCTACCTTTGACTAGTAACAGGCAAATGGAATAATACGAGCATATACCTGTATTGTTTAATTTATAAAAATTATGATTTTGTTTGTTTAAATTATTAATCAATACCATAATAAAATTTGCCTACAGAATTAACCCGCTGTCCCTAGCCCAAATAGCTGGAGATGTCATCACACAACACACAGATCCTAATGAAGCTATCACTTTCATTGAAAAGGTTGCTCCTAAGGTTGTTGACCATCAAGAAGCAAAAGTTCTTTGCAATGTACTTATTGCACAGGTTAGTATAAATTGGTAATGCAGTTCATGTTTTTAGTTGTAAATTTAAACACTTGGACTGGATGGTAGAGTAATGGCCTCGCTTCTTGCAGGTCTGTGTTCAGTCTCTGACCGTCCAAGTGGTTGGGCACCATTCCTTCTCTTCATCCTATCCTAAATCCTTATCCCTTCCAATTGCTAATTAATCATAATGGCTTAGTGTTTTCTCCTGATAATTACCTTACCTCTTAAGTGCACACAAGCAGGAAAATGGAAAAGACCAGGACAGGATGGTCACATTTATTTTCATCCATTGTTATTTAATTAAACAATACTGGAAAGTGCAAGAACAAGTTTGATAACTCATTAGGCATTATTATCTATATACATTATACTATAGTTGAGTTTTATATATTTTGTTTCATATTCAAGTGCAAGTCTCACTACCTATTAAGGATGTGTTCTTGTTCATATTACCCTTAGTAGAAAACAGTGTAAAAGTTCAGATTTGGCCAGGAAAAGAAAGTGGCTCATGCAATGAAGCTCCTGTTTGAAAGAATGAGGAATGAGATGCAAATAGTGAACTGCACAAGTGATAAGGATTTACCTTTTGTATGGTTGTGAAATATTGGTATGACAGGAGTATGAAAAATGAAAAGCCTGAGCAGTAGAAAGGGACACCTTAGGGTGGAGAATAGCTATAATCATTATTATTATTTCTGACTAAGCTCATTTATCCGGATTATATGGGATTGACCCCTCATTGGATAAGGTAAGGGAAATATTAGGAGAAAGTGCCAAGTCTTCATGACTATGAATAGAGGAAAGAGGCAAGGACCCCCTCCCCCCTCACTGGATTAGGCAGACATCCGGATGAGCAGAATTCTTACCGAAAAAGTCCAAAAATTAACATTCGCATTTTTTTGTACCACAGCCAACGTGATTTGAATTTCCACACACTATAAATACAAAATATAATTTAAAATGGAAACTTCAGCTTATCTTGGCTTAGTTCATCATCATGATTGATACTGAAATTCTTGAAAATTTATGTAACCAAATACAGTACTGTATTTGGTAATCCAAATTTTTGTCTGGATATGGTGAAGTTTTGCCAGAAAATTATCCAGATGCGATTTTGGTCACATAACCAAAATATTTGGTTAAGCGGGCTTCCAATAAGTGTTCATACAGCACTACATTGTTTCTTTCTTTTGTAGGGTAGGAAGGCATCAACTCGTAAGAAATTGGAAAGCAATATATGGGGAAAAAAGTGAAAAAATCTTAAAAAAAAAAAAAAAAGATACCTCCTTTATTCACTATACTGTATCTAACAAATTTCCTGCTTCTCTGAACCGCAATATCCTACTTACAGGTGTTCATCTTATAGAATGTTCTGATTTTCAGGGTAATCAAGCAAGTCAATGCTTTAATATTTCATATCTCTGTCATGTGTTTTTCAGTAGACTCCAGTGTGAATTCAGTACCTTTGATTAGTATTAAGATTTGAAATGCTGATGATAAATCAAGCATTTATATATTATGTATAAACATAAAAATTGGCATTGTATGTTAAAAACCTGGCTATGAATGAGCATAAGAAAAATGTAAAAAAAAAAATTCAATGTTCAAGATAGCAGAGGTTTATCGGAGGCTTCAAGTACCGATTGGGAACCCTGTGAACTGCGCAGGAGTTTCAAATGTTACACAGTAACAGTACCTAGAACTTCATTGGTTGATATATATGATAATGATATGATACTTTATGCATATTTCTAGGATTAATGATATAAAGTTGGAATGAACTCTCAATATCACCTTAATCATCAAACTGCACACTGTTTTTTAGGTCCCTTTCTAGATGCACATAAAAATCTAAAATATTACCGGAATTTCTACTTTTTTGTCGTAAAACATTTATTGCTGATGTCAGGAAAAATATAAAAAAATAATTACTTTAGTTTGGCCATAGTGAGGTGAAGAAATGTCTTATTCTGAAAATAAATTTCCAAGGAATCTATCTCTAATAAATTTCTTCATATCACAAATGCTTTCCTAGCCCATAAAAGTTCTTGAAATTTTGCATAGCATAAAATTTTATGTGCATAGAAATTGGTAAATTATTGTTGTACCTGAAATGATGCCAATTTTTAAATAATTTCGTGAAAGGTAGCTAAGGCTCTCAGGATTTTTTCCATCATGGCAAATGACTGCTAGTGGTGTCTAGTACACAATGACAGCCACATAGGTTATTTAGGATCTTTGATTGTTAAAATACACCTTAAATCATTCTCAAATGACAGGAGCACCATGGGTCTATCATATAAGAATGACAGGAGCAGTTTAAGAGTTAATGATCCTGCAGGGACAGTTTAAAATTTTCCTAAAGTTGTTGGTTCAGTATGTCATCCTGTCTGATTGTACATGACCTTTTCTTATGGACTCAATGGATACAGTTATTATTTTTATTTTCAGATAACCTTGGCACGACTGGAAGATCAACCAAGGACAAAAAAAATATTGGATGAAACAGAGAAAATGCTAGATGAGATTGATGGAGTTACACCTGTACATGGAAAGTAAGAAATTTTTACGCTAATCACATATGATGGTAATGAGGTGTATGCTTAGAGTATAGTGTATTTTTAGCTAAAGTGTCTGTCAGGAAAGCATTATATAATTCCATACAGAGGTTTTAAAAGGAAGGGGTGAATGATTGAAATTCATGTTCATGACCTTGCTAGGAGCCATTTGCAAAAGTCATGAAGTGGTGTAAATACTGCTGTGGGTTACTAGCTGATGTGTAGTTGTTTGAGTATAAAAATTAGTGAATAGATGAGTATCATTGTATATTTGTAATTTTTTTCCTATAATAATTGCAATATGCAAAGCAATATAGATATTATTATACCTTCAAGCTCCATGTCATTGTATCCTAATTGTTCTTACCCTTCGGTCTCGCCTTTCAACTATCAGTTGGTGTTGGTGTATCCTGAGCCTATTGTGCTCGATGATATATACATTTGGACCTGCATATGGAGTCTGCCTCCATCACAGGTGTCCGTCTGCGGACACCTGTGATGGGTATTCCCATACCCATTATGGGTATTCCTATACCCATTTTGGGTATTCAGTTTCCACCTGTGTGTGCTTATTTGAATACTTCATTGTAAAAATTATCCTTATTTCTTTACCCTGCAGGTTTTATCTTTTGGCATCAGAGCTATACTGCCGTAGTGGAGCTCATTCCGATTACTATAGAGCTGCCCTCCGCTACCTTGGCTGTACAGAGGTGGATGACATGGATGCTGACAAGAAGAATAAACAAGCATTTTATCTTGGACTTGCTGCTCTCTTAGGTGATGGCATCTACAATTTTGGAGAACTGGTGAATATAACATTACTTCCTATAATATTCAACAAAATATCATAGGCTAATTTGTGATTAAATAAAAAATGTATATACAGTATATGAAATCTTATATAGTGTGTGTGTGTGTGTGTGTGTGTGTGTAATTACCTAAGTGTAGTTACAGGATGAGAGCTACACTCGTGGTGTCCCGTCTTCCCAGCACTCTTTGTCATATAATGTTTTAAAAATACTGACGGTCTTGACCTCCACCACCTCACCTAACTTGTTCCAACCGTCTACCACTCTGATTGCGAAAGTGAATTTTCTTATATTTCTTCGGCATCTGTGTTTAGCTAGTTTAAATCTATGACCTCTTGTTCTTAAAGTTCCAGGTCTCGGGAAATCTTCCCTATCGATTTTATCAATTCCTGTTACTATTTTGTATGTAATGATCATATCACCTCTTTTTCTTCTGTCTTCTAGTTTTGGCATATTTAAATAGATTGTGATGAGTGTGTGTGTGTGTGTGTGTGTGTGTGTTAAGGTAGGCTGTATGGAGAAGAATTTATTAAAAATTTATGTATATGTATGTGTATGAACATGAGCCAAGCAATAGTAGGCCAACGGTTCCCACATGAATGGTGGGCATTAGATTAGACAGTCGCTGTATGAATACTTCAAAATGATATATAGGATAGACTTAAATTTAAATTTTTATAGTTGCTATACCAGATTTTCTTCTAGTGCATGGCTTCCAGGAATAATTCAGTCTTGCTGATGCCAGATCTGATATTCCGTGATTACAATGATAGTTTATATGTATTTCTAATGCAGCCACCTCATTTCAGCTTGCCCATCCAATTCTGGAAGCACTTAAAGGATCATCTTCTGAATGGTTGCTAGATTTGCTGCTGGCCTTTAATCAGGGTAATATAAGCAAGTTTGAAGCCATGAAGCCACAGTGGAGCACTCAGCCAGACTTACTTGCCAAAGAAAACCAATTGCGAGAGAAAATCCGTCTTTTGTGTCTGATGGAGGTAATTGTACAACTACTACACAAATAGCTGTAATCATTTTACATTTATAATCATACTAATTGAACTCTTAGGCAACATTATGTAAGAGTAGATATGGTCTAGGGAAAAATTACCAGTGTTTGGCAACTTAAGCAAGTTACTTGATGGACACTTCACTCTAGTTTGCTGAGGGTTGCTGAAGTTCTACAGATATAAACATAGAATAAATGTATACATCACATCTTGCAGACTTGCAAGAAGATGTGAGTTGCAGACAACTTTTGTTTTCTTTGGAGCTTGGTTGGTGAGGCAAGGGTGAATTTTTTGGTGTTATTAGGGGGCTCTTCCTTTGAGGTGCTTGATGCTTGCCTGTTTGCTCTGGCCCTGTCCCAGAATATGGGCATGTGGCAGCACCATGTGAGTATACCTTATCTTTCATGCCCCCCCTAATTCCAGAGGTTCATAGGGCTTGGCTCTGTCTGGCTTCTGAGCTGTACATCTGGTAGATTGTGGAGTTGTCCACCAGTCGGCTTTGAATGTGCTGGCTTCAGTTCCTGGGATTGCGACTCTTTAGCTTGCATTTGGGCTCCGGAGGAAATGCCCAAGTTGCTCACGTTCTCCGAGAGACAGTGGCAGACTTCCTTTTGGTTCAGTTTGTGACCAGCAAGCGTTTCTAGCCCATGTTTGGATTCGACTTAGTCTCTTTCCCAAGAGACCAAGCTGAATCTGGTGTCTGCTTCCCTCTTCTCTGCTCATTTGTTTTTCTTGGAGTCTGCAGTCTCTTCAGTTTTGTTAGATTCAATGGGCATCTCTTTCCAGCCACTTGGCTACATTTTGTCACAACAGAATTCTGTTTCTGCTGCCTTGGGACAGTTTGGGGTTTGGGCCTTGCCTGTGGTTGATCAGGGTTGGCAGTCAGAGGTGCCAATTCTTTGTGCTGCCTTCATCCCTCACAACTTGTTGATAACCCAAGAGCTCTACAGTGAATAACTGGATGTGTTCACATCAGCGACAGAACTAGTTTGGAGGGCTGGAGGAGACCTGGAGCTCTGCCCCATCTTCCCTATTGGCAGGGGGTTGGTGCTAATGAGCCCACACTAGTTTCAAGAGATTCATTTGTTTGTTTACAGTGTTTGGGGAGTTCATTTGGCAGTTTTGAAGCTTTGGTTCTCTTGAACCCAGCCGTAATCTGTATTGATTTATTGACTTTCTGGATGCTTTCCCAGTGGGGGTGGCTGAGTGTCACCTGTTTTCTGCACCTCTGTGAGGGGGGGGGGGCAGGCTCTGGCTCTGGTCCCCAGTAGATCAAACAACTCCGTGGCTGATGTTACCTTGTAGTTGGGAGCAATATCAGTGAGAGAGCTTTGGGGAACCACCAGTGCTTATCCAGAAAGATGCGTTTCATAACCTTTAATGCTGTTTTTTCTTCCATGGTGAGATAACATTAGAGTCACCAGGGAAACCCTCTCAGAAGTCTAATGTTGAATGTAATGAAACTGCTTTCTGGTGTATTCCTTGGTGACTCCCTATTTCTACCCTACCTTTTCAGAGGCATTGGTTGCTATGGGTAGAACATATCTGATCCATTGACACTGGGTAGATCCTGGGCTTCCAGTTGGGGAGGGGGAGGTGTAACCAATATTGTAACAACATAACTTCTGTGTTCCTTGTTGTCAGAGTTGCTAATATTTCCTTGCAGTTGCATGTTTTGCTTTGATCTAGCCTTCTAGTGGCCTTTCCTCTGGGTATGGGAGACCTAGTATTCCCTGCTTCTTTGAGTGGACCAGGTTTTAGCCTCTGCTCTGCAGTAGATGATTATCTGACTTGCAGGGGTCTGGTGTGACATGTAGAGCTATCTAGGTGGCTGGTGTCGAGCCACTGAGGACCCACCAGAAAGGCACTTCATTACATTAAACACTAGATTTTTCTTTTCAGATTTGCACATTTATATTCAGAAAATATGGATATAAATATATTTTATGAAATGTAAGTTAAAAGTGATTATGAAAGGTCATTGAAGTAAATTGGAAGGACTTAAATATTGGAATGAGAGATCTCAAACTGTTCCTGCTTACAACCAGGATCATCTACTAAGTGCAATACAATGTCTAATTATATCTCTTTTAAATTAATGCTCTTAAATACTGAGCTTCAAATTTTGCATATAATTAAGGTACAATTTAAATTCTTCTCAAAATATCTTTTAATACCTATTACTTAATGCAGTTTTGGCTCTTATGGATGGATATTTTTTTATTTTATTTTTTTGCTACAGTTGTACAGTATGACTCCTATTATCATAATATTGATTTATTTTTTATTTCCTTGTGTCAACTTTACTTTAATGTTTTTATTATAGATGACGTTCCAGCGTAAGGCTTGGGACCGTCAACTGACATTTGCAGAGATTGCCCGGGAAACAGGGTTGCCCGAGAACCAAGTTGAAGTGATGGTGATGCGTGCACTGTCACTTGGTCTTGTTCGCGGTACCATTGACCAAGTTGACAACAAAGTTAACATAACCTGGGTTCAACCTAGAGTCCTTGACAAAAAACAGGTCAGTGTTAGAGCAATGACGTTGATAGTACTGTACTGTACTATATAGGTCATCACATTTAATTATAAAAAGTATGCTTGATGTAAAAATAATTAGTCTGAATACATAATTTGTTACTGTTTAACTTAATATTGTATTAGTTATCAAGATTGAATGTAATGATAAAATAAGTTATATAAGAAAAATTATATCGGTAAATACAAATAGGAAACCACTATGAGATACATTTGCAAATTCTGCTATGTTTTCTACTTTCATATTTTGATGTGCACAGTTGATGCTAGTCCCCAAAGTGAAAAAATCTTCACTATTTCTTTCTTGGTTTCCTCAGCTGGCATCAATGATGGAGAGGCTGACAGACTGGTGTAAAGATGTCAGTAGTATGCAGAATCTCCTACAAGACCAAGCCAGCACAATTCTCACTTTATAAATTTTTTAGCTCCATAAGTAAATACATCTCGATAACATTTGCATTCATGACTAGTTGCAAAAGAAATTCGTGCTTTCTTCTGCAACTGTTTAAAAGTTGGAAGAAATATTTAAAGTACTGTAATGCTAATTCATTTTTTATCAGGTTATTTATATTTTTGGGTGGGTTTATATTTTTGGGTGGAATGGGGGATGATAATATTTACATTATTTATCATAAGAAGCATTTCAGAAATATCAGGTAACAAAATAAACAATGAAACTGTTGATATTTAAAATATTCAAGATTTATAATATTTTTTATTTTGTGTAACTTATGTATTGCTTTGAAGAATAAATTTGTTTTCGTATGTAAACATCTATTAAAATGACCATTTCCTTAATGTGCAGTTACTGTATTACAAAATGTACCATTGGAAATAGCATCATGTCAGCAAAAGTTGTTAGTTCATTAGTCTCTGTTAGTTTTTCTAGGATCCTGATGGTTTATACAGTACTGTACCACTTTGCAGATGTCACATTAATAGAAGCTGCCATTCACTTTGTCATGCACTGTGCCTCCCCGTAGCACTTGGAAGTGCATTCTTCGGTAGAATTTGGACTGTTCCCATCCTGTTCATTGTAAACGTACAGCCAAGAAAACACCGATTCTAGCGGACATCCCAAGCTTTTATTTTGTTTTGGAAAGCCAGTGTAGTACACCATAGTACCATTCTTATGCCTAGAAATGAGTCAAAGATCCTATTTCTCTACTATTAATGTCAACACTCTTCTCTCCCATATCTGGAAGAAAATCTTTAAAATTGAGTAAATTTCTTACAGATGTTACTCTTGTACTCTCCATGGTTCTGGTATTGGCAATCCATTGTTAGTCATGAGTGTGCTAAGTTTCCAGTTTTCAGCTGTTAGCTGCAGTTTTCATCTCTCTTGCCTTCCTTACCTGTATGTTCCATATTGAATCTTACCCTTTGCAATTTTGCATTCTCCTTCAGCTTCTCTACAGCAATCTCTTCACTCTTTCTGAACTCCAATCTGCAACTGTCCATTTGCAATTGTATGGGAGTGGGCTTGGATAGCTTTTTTTATGCTATTCCAATTGGCCTTTACAAAAATTATCATAGTAAAGTGCAACGAACACTAAAGATCTATAGATTACTGAGGAAAAGATGTATGCTTTCTAAACATGGCAAAGTGGTTATATTAGTGGGACAGGTGGTTCCCGGGGTCCAAATCTATGGAATCAGATAGTGTTTCATTCGGTTCACAATTTTTTTTTACTAAAAAAAAAACACTTTGTGGACTAAGAAGAGGAGTTTGAGCAATCCCTCCCTGTGCCTGGCACTGTTCCTACAGATATTTCCAGTAATTCATGGACCTATGTCCCTAAAGTTTCTGGTATACAGTGCTTTGTTTAGTACTATTGACCCACTTTCGTATAACCAAGAATTTGATACATAATGTACTACAGTATGTGTAGTATGACTTGATAGTTTAGAAAAACAGTTTATGCTGATAATTGCAAAATCTGAACACACTTGCTAAATTTAAACGGAGCTAGGTGATGTGCAAGAGCAAAGAAAATTTAATTGATTTCATGTAAGAAATTTGTTAGGCAGCCATTGTGGGGTTATGTCTTTAGGAAGGTGAGTAATCAGCATAAGGGAGAGTCTAATAAACCTAACAGGCTTTGTATTCCCAACAATGAAAACTATTTATTGTAGTACTTTCAATTAAGTTTATTTATATGATTTATTTAATTTTCATGTAATGAAAATATGAATGAAACTCGGCATTTAAGGTTGGCCAATTTAGACTTGTGTAATTGCCAGCATGACACATTGCCATGCACCAGACTCACTTCTCTGCCCCATGCTCACAACTCTCTCAACTGGATGGATGACAACCCATCCTCTCAACTAGCATGTCTTTTTTTTTCTACACTATGGTCCCCAGTGTACATAATAAGTAGTACAGTACTATGAAAAGTAGCAGCTCGCAAAAATCTCTGGGTTATGGGTTAGGTGGGTGGCTTGAGCTCATGCATATTAGTACTCCCCTGTTGTGTACTTCGAGGCAAATCAAGACAGGCTAGCTCATGATCCGCGCTCTGGCACACCCCTAACCATCACCCCTGACTTGCACATTCCCCAACTCTCTCTCACCTGACAAATACCTCCAACTCTCACATACCTGACAAGCTCCCACAATCCATGCCCCTGACCGACTCCCTCGACGCATCCCAAGCCCCTTGAGATTTGACTTTTAGGCCAACTCACCACTCAGTATTTTGGAGTTGGTCCACATTGTCTACATAATGTCCCTTACCTCCGTAACCAAAATTTAAAAATATATATTTTTAACTACAATGGGGTTAATGTCCATATCTACTGACACAGTGCAGCTATTAAAACACTTTCTAATCGGTGGAGCTTAAATCTGTCAGCTTTATATACTGTAGTTGGATTATCTAACAGTATTGAAATATATATTGAGTTAGCCATCAAAATCAACCTTAAAAATCATATTGTTTGGATATAATTATGCAACTTGCTAATAATGCCATAGATTAACTGTTGGTCATGATAACAGTATTGGCTCTAATAATGACACCTGTTCAGTATATTAATATAAATTACATAGTACTAATAAGAAGAATGAATATATTGAAATAACAAGCTGTAAGAACAATAAATATTACTTAAATAATAATAAATTCATTTAAAAATAAAGACCTCGTACTGTATGTACACAGATTGATTTTGATTCTTGCCACATGAGGCGGCTCCGTATAGTTTGTGCATCCCATACTCATCCTGGGAGAGGTAGTGCAATAAAAGGATTGCAGAGGCCACAATTAAAAAGTTGTAATCAGACATAGGTGGATTTTTTTATATAATTAGTTACAATAATGCTGCACACTTCATAAGTACATTGACATATAGTAACAGACTCCAACTGCCATGAATTAGCCAGGTCTCTCCTCCCTTTTCCCCTTCTCCCAGTCTTCCCCCACCCTCCCACCCTCTCCACTCTAACATGCCTCCTCTCTCCTTCCTCTTTTTCAAACATTCCCCCCCCCCCTTTATCTTCCCCCATCTCCCTCTTCCCCGTTTTCTCAGAAAAATTATGTAATGAAATATTGAAACTTAAGTCCATGGACAACACAACCAATGTTTCAGACAATTTCACTGTAGGTCAGGGAGGGGTTAAATGCTGATATATTTTAAAGTATGACACTGGAGCCTATCCCGACTGGCCTATGACACTCCTATACCCCACATGCTTCATGTGTGAAAGCTAGGCGAGGCCAGCCCCAAGTGTCTGACCTCCAACCTTAAACAGTCAGACAGGTATTCTCTTTTTATAGATCCAGATTGGGGGGTAGGACTGTTAATGATACCATAGATTTCAATACCTCAACTAATTTTCACAAGATAATAGTAGAGTTGTTAGTTATAGTTTTGTCACAACGCTGAGAGTATACTTCAGTCCTGGGCCACGTTCAGGACTAAAGTATACATACTGGTTCGTTAATAAGCTCGTGTGGTCTTAACTCACCTTCAGAGGTTGATATAGACTTTAAGCCCGTACACCTAAAACAATTACAACCAAGTCGAGTGACGGTTAGTATACGAAAAAGAATTGATTGATGAATTATCTGGAATAAACCAGACGCTGTGTCGAAACGTAGCCTCGTCAACCGCTGTCAGCCTTGTCTCATATATTCTTGATAATCGGTCAACAAGGTGAGCTGATCTATGACCCACCACTCTATCATTCACTCACAGACACTCCATTATTCTCTCACACACTATCAAATATTCCCCAAACGCATGCTCCCTATTGTTCCCAGACACACATTACAGTGTTCCCTGAGGCACGCTGCATTGTCCTCTCACGCACACACGCTATTATTCCTTCACGCACACACGCCATTGTTCCCTCACGCACACACGCCATTATTCCCTCACGCACACACGCCATAGTTCCCTCACGCATGCAAGATTCTCAGAGGAATTGATATTGTAGATAAAGACAATTTATTTAACACGGGGGGTACCACATAAGGGGACACAGGTGGAAACTGAGTATACCCAGATGAGCCATAGAGATATTAGTTTTTAGAGAACTTTTTTAGTGTCAGAGTAGTTAAGAAATGGAATGCATTAGGAAGTGATGTGGTGGAGGCAGACTCCATACACGGTTTCAAATGTAGATATGATAGAACCTTATAAGCTCTGTACACCATTTGATTTACAAATGAGAGGCGGGAACCAAAGAACCGAAGCTCAACCCCCGCAAGCACAACTAGGTGAGTACTTGCTAATTGTTCCCTGACACATACGCTGCCTTGCGCACGTACACGACACACCATATAGGGATAACTCCTAATTATTAATATAATTCATTAATGCTCATCATTATCATTAAAATTATATATATATATATATATATATATATATATATATATATATATATATATATATATATATATATATATATATATATATATATATATATATATATATATGCAGAATAACCACATATGAAAAATAGAAAATGCTTAACGCGTTTTCGGCTAATTCGCCTTCATCAGAGCAAAGTAGAAATCTACTTTGATTTCTACTTTGCTCTGATGAAGGCGAATTAGCCGAAAACGCGTTAAGCATTTTCTATTTTTCATATGTGGTTATTCTGCATACTTGGATCAGTGTTTTTGTGATCATTGTTGCATATATATATATATATATATATATATATATATATATATATATATATATATATATATATATATATATATTATTAAATATGACCGAAAAAGTAAGATTAATAATTCTAACACGAATTTTCTCGATCTTTCTTATGTTTCTTTTCACTGTTGATGGTAATTGAAAAATCAATTCTCCAAAATTCATTTTTATTTCTAGTCTGACGCGACACTTGAACGCGTTTCGTAATAACTTATTACATTTTCAAAGACTTTTAGTTTACATACACACACAACTATTACCTGCAAACACTAAACAGAGTTCTTGTTGTTGTTGTTGTTTAAGATTCGCTACTCAGAACGATAAGTTCCAGTAGCATGGGCTATGGTGAGCCCGTAAGATCCTGAGAACAGAGTTCTTACTTATGCTATGATTTAAACAGCTTTCATTTTTCATTTTATACCTCCATTTTGGGTGAGGTGATATGTTACAACAGTTTTGGATGAGGTGAACAAAACTTTCAACAGAGGATAGAACACGAAACAATGGGTATTGAAGGTAAGAATGGAAGTAATTGCAGAAAGCCTATTGGCCCATATTTCTTGATGCTTCTATATTGGAGCGGAGTCTTGAAGTGGGTAGAATATAGTTGTGCATTAATTGGCTGTTGATTGCTGGTGTTGACTTCTTGATGTGTAGTGCCTCGCAGATGTCAAGCCGCCTGCTATCGCTGTATCTATCGATGATTTCTGTGTTGTTTGCTAAGATTTCTCTGGTGATGGTTTGGTTGTGGGAAGAGATTATGTTCCTTAATGGAGCCCTGTTGCTTATGCATCGTTAATCGCCTGGAAAGAGATGTTATTGTCAAGACAACAACATTGTTGTCCTATATATATATATATATATATATATATATATATATATATATATATATATATATATATATATATATATATATATATATATATATATATATATATATATATATATATATATATATATATATATATATATATATAATTTAAAATAATATATATATATATATATATATATATATATATATATATATATATATATATATATATATATATATATATATATATATATATATATGTATAATTATTATTATTACAGGGTCCAGCTCCTCTCCCATCTGTATGTCATACTCCCCCACTCTGTATACCTAGAAGAAGTCTAGTTTCGTTTTTTTAACTTTTAAAGGAGGCAAGATGCCACAAAGAGAAGAAATATATTTTTTTAGTTTGAATGGGGAGGAGGTGAGAGAGCGGCTCAACCATAAAATGGCGGTTCAGCTCGAGAGGGAGGATGTTTTTCCCGCTCGAGGATACCCCGGAGGATTGTGGGTGCAGATACAAGAGGTATGTGATTGGCTGGTGGCAGGGGCCTGGCCAGATGGGCCAATCGCAAAGCTCCCCGGGTGTGACGTGGCGTGACGTCAGGCTCCCCTGTGGTTGACGCGGGAAATCTGTCGTGATTCGCCATCGGGAGTGAAAACGAGCAGAGGTGATGTTCGGCGGTCCCTAATTCTGGAGAGAAATAGGCCTCTAGAGGGACGAATTCTCGAGTGCCAATGAGGAGGAGCGTCCAGTCGACCTCCTAGGAAGTACAGCTGGTCAATGAAAGAAGTTCACTAAAGGCTCGATGATGGTGGAGCTTCAAGTCTGCTCAGGAAAAATCGGTGGCAGTCTTGGTCTGGTGTAGCAGTGACAACACCCAGGGAGAAACAGTCGTACTACACGGCTATGGTAGAATCGAAGGGGACCAGTATCCCAGGCTGAGGACCCCCGCGAGGACGTTTGCTGCCTCCTAGCAGGCCGTCAGAGAAATTCGGTGGTAGAGAGGATCGTGTGAGGAGGAGACTCAAGGCGTCGACTACAGAGGGAGGAAATCAACGGGGAGGAGGTCTACTACTACTTCACTTCGCTACTATGCCCAGCGGAGACCACAGCATCCAGGAGCGATTATTAAGGTAGATAAATTTGCCCTCCCATTCTCCCCTTGTTGTTAGGAATTATGTTATTAAATGTTAAGGTACGTAGTGGAAAATAATGTGAGACAGGCCGAACATTGAGTAAAGGGAAGGGAAAGGGAATTATCAGGAGAAAGCGCCAAGCCATTACGACAATATAGCACTAACCGGATCTTAGAATCAGATAAGGATTTGGGAAGGAACGGGGGAAAGGAATGGTACCCAACCACTTGGACGGTCTGGGATTGAACGCCGACCTGCATGAAGCGAGACCGTCGTTCTACCGTCCAGCCCAAGTGGTTGGGCACCATTGGCCAACCACTTGGGCAACCATGCACAAATTGCAGAAGACAAAATTTGTGCATGGATTTACGAAATTTATGCCCGAAACGCTTTGCTTATGCCCGAAACGCTTTGCGTAATAGTGGCTTTAGGCATTGTATGTACTAGCTATACCTATAAGTTAAACAATCCTTGTAAATATTTATTGTATGTATGTACCTTACCTAAATAAAATTTTATTGTATTGTATTGTAAATAACTGCAAGTCCATGGAATTAGCGGTAAAATACTGGAATAGACAAAACCGGAAGGAGTCAGACTGGAAAATTTGAGTGAGTCGAGAACTGAAAGGTCTCATTATCGGGCCAACACTTTTTATCATACATTAATGACACTGATGACAGCATCACGAACCACATCATCAAATTCCTAGATGATGCAGAGACATACGGGAAAGTTGAAAGTGATAATGATATTGCGGCCTTGCAAAAGGAACTACACCAACGCCATAAACAGAAAATTGGCAAATACTATATTGAATATTGAAAATGCAAGACCTTGTAGGGCATAACAGTACATACTAGAATTGCCATAGTAACAATACGACATTGCAACAGATTGAAAAAAAATGAACCTAGGAGTAATGATCGACCAGGCATTGAAAGATGTTCAGTAAGTTGGTGTTCAGGATAAATAACATACTTAAAGAACAATTAAACGGTCCTATGACTTAAAGGAAAGTGGCATTCAAACACAACCGAAGTACTACATATCAAACACTCGTGCAACTATTAAGCTAAACCAACTAATGCACCCAATCATAGAGACCTTATGTACAAAAAAATATTGCTCTGAAAACGTTTCAGTGTAGAGCGACGAAAATCATCCCAGAACTAAGAGAACAATCATACCAGAAAAGGCTAATGGTCTTAAAAACTACATCTCTGCAAACAAGACAAAAAAGCTGATTTTCAGACTCAAAATACTGAGCAAATTGGAAGATATTAATCCAGCTCATTTCTTTAACAAGTCCAAAACTCACACCAAGGACAGTATCGTCAAGCCCTATAAGCCATAATACAGGAAAGAAAACGGATGCCTTTTCCCCTATAAGGTAATAAATTTATGAAATCGCTTACACTTGATCCGAAGCAGCAAACACCAAGACAATTCTTAATTTCAAAATGCAGTTTGGAATAAATGCCCATTAATAATGAGAACCTTCAACAAGCCGCCGGCTTCCGGCCCCGTCGAGGCAATTTTATACGGTTGCCTTCAGGTAAATTAAGTTATGTTATAAATATGAAATGTAGAAAATTATTAGATATCTATTAATGATTATTTTATATAATATGAATGGATGATTATTGACAATAGTTACGATGTTATAATTATCTATTGTTGATAAAGGTTATAGAAAATAGAGATGGATGGTGAAAAATAGAGATGGATGGTAGTTTTTTTTAGCAATATTTAATGTAATTCTTTCGTGATGTATGGTGGCATAAGACCCCGAGATATCTATTACAATGTCTATTATGAAATATAACAATATCTAGTAATTATTGATATTATGTGAGGACATATGGGCTTGTATGTGGCCCAGCGCTGGAGCCTGTGTGAGCGAACACAAGACATGTTATGTCCTTCCAGCTCCGAGGACTCATGGGTTGAACGTGTTCAAAACTGGATTAAAAAAACTGATTATTTAATTGTGAACTATTATTTGAGGGAATACTTAAATATATGCATTTGCCCGGTGAGCCTTCATTTTCTATCAAGCCTTCTTCCAATCATTAAGGGTCTACCTTAATGATAATAACCAAAACTGCTTCTGATCGGTGGATGCCGTAAGGTAGCGGGATGATGTACTAACCTCAGCCCGTCCTCACTAACCTACTGGAAGAGGTGACCACCTACTCACTATGTGAGCTGTGATAATAGTGGAGATATGTATGACCGGAGTGCAGAGTCCTCCATGCAGGATGTGCTGTGAGGCACGCCTCCACCCCCCCCCCCCCCCACCCAGCTCCTCCACTGGAGTGGGAGGATGCAGGTCACGTGTTCACATTACAGCTAAACGTTGCCCTTCTCCTATGTACTCCTCCATATATGTCATTGCTTCCATTAAGGTCGTCGCAGCGTTACTCAACTATCAACAAGGTCATTTCTTGCTCATGAGTGCTGAAAAAGAGTACGGTATAAATATTAATATTTACTTTTTAAAGTTTAAATGACTCAGTTTTCAATTTGGCATTCGTTGTGTAAAGCCAGGAAGGTGTGTTGACGCGTGGCGCGACGCATCAGTCGCCTGCTGACGACGGTCTTGGTTAATAATACCTATACAGTTAGATGGCAGTGCAGCAAGCTAGCACCCTTCGGTAGTACGGAGTAGTAAGCAAGTAAGTAATACGGACCATGGTATTCACAGGGCACTCCTCTATAGTTCACCCTGGTGCATAAATTGTCTAGTACCTGGAAGATGGCGGCAGATAATCACGTGCGCACGATGTGGCACCTTGAGCTACGTCACGCTGCGACTCTGCCAGTCACAGGGGGTTGCGTCACTGAGCCCTGCAGCCATTGGTCACAAATGATGAAATCCAAACGAGCTTTCTTGAACCTTCCTTACTGCTGTATTTTGTAAATAAATCTCATCAAGTAATTAAAAAACCCTTTATTAATTCTCACAAAATAGATTTTTGTGTTTGTCAACTACACAAACGCTAAAACCTATGACACATTAGAAGGATATTCCAGGGTAAACCGGTATGGTATTGATCTGCGCGGGGTGGGTTGCGGAAGTAGGCGTATAAAGCCGGCGGGCGGGGGCTAAGGCGGCATTTGCAACCACGTGGTACCGTCGAGCGCACACGCTCTGTGATCGAGTCCTTCTCGAGTGCACTTTGCACGTGCCCTTCCGAGGGACTTTAGCTTCCCTAGGTTTTGGCAATGGTCAAGAAGGTACCGGCAAAACTAGTCAAGAAGTCCAAGCGACATGGTATTCCTCGCGACGAGTTGGTGAGTAGCTGGGGAGTGGGCGGTAGGAGGGCAGAGTCCTGGGGTAGGAGGGCAGTGTCCTGGGGTAGACTAGGGGAGGATGAGGGAGGGGAATGTGCCCTGTAATGACGCGGCGTCCCGTCCCAGGTCACCGTCAAGTCCGACCTCATTTTGTTGGCGCCAGAGTTCGAGGACATCGAGGAAAAGCGGCTGGAAGGACCCGCATGGAGCCGGCCGAACCAGCGTGACTCGGAGGACCCCCACAAAGGTCAGTTGTGGCAGTGGACGTGGCCCCTGTAGGGGGTTTTGACCTGCTGTGTGAGGTATCATGGCCTAATGAATGAGAAGTCATTGCCTGCTGAGCGAGAAGGCTTGGTCCGCTGAGTGAGGAGGCTTGGCCTGCGTAGAACACAGTAAGCTGAATGATGACAAAGTGGTGGCCAAAACACTGAGGAAAGGTAAGCTGTTGGGTGGTAAGAACACGAAAACTACCGGCTAAGTGATGTAGGAACATGAGCTGCTGAGTGGTGTAGGACCTTGACCTGCTGAATAGAAGGACGGTGATCTGCTGAGCGGTAAGACCGCAACCAATTAAGAGGTAAGACCGTGACCAACTAGTGATAGAACTATAGTCTATAGGGTGGAAAGACCGTGTCCTACTAGGTAAGTGGTAGGGTTGTGACCTGTTGAGGACAGGTAGACTGAGAGGATGTGTGTGTCAGACGAGTTACGTTATGCGCTTGTTGTGTCTGTGTCCGGTCTTACCTTCTTTCACCCTTTAATAGTTAACCAGCTTAGAACCAGAGCAGCGTGCTGCTCTATGATGGATTATCTACGACAATCCCCCGTAGCCAACGAAATGACCTTTCCAGAATGCAACATGCAACTGTTGACTAACTGCCAGATGAACTGCTAGGTGAACAAAAACATCAAATACAAGAAAGCGTATCTAAACCTCTCGCCTTGCCCGGAAACCGAACCCAGGGCCAATGGGTTGTGAGACGACTGCGGTACAGATTTTCTTCAAACTAGGCAAGCGTAGGTATGGAATTAGGCAAGAAGTGGGGGGAGGGGTAGTGTCTGGGTCAAAAGAGATGGCGTGCAGTATTTGTCACCTGGTTTAACTTGTTTTCCAATAATTTCCAATTACCTTTGCGCGTAGGCGTATCGGAATTTATAACATTCATGAAGAAACAGCCATAACCACCATAGACTTTTTATCTCTGGATCAGGAAAAGCCTAATTTTAATTCATCGTTGAGGAGAGAGATAAACGAGGACAAGTTTGACAACACGACTTGTGTAACTGGCTGTTTGGTTTACCAGGCTCCCAGCACAACTCAGCTCTGACGAAGATACACCTTAGCCTCCCAGTACTAACCCAACTATGATGCAGATACATCTTAGTGTATCTGCATCCATGGAAAGCCATCTCTAACATCCTAGGGTCTAAACAACAAGCATTTAACAATCAGATAAAACTCTCCAAAGATGGTTATACACTTGCAACAGACTTAGATATTGCAACTGAATTCAATAGCTTCTTTTCATCAATTGGTGCTAACTTTGCCAGAAAAATCCCAGAGACCCAAACACATGTTACTACATATCTCACAGGCAACTATCCTAACTACTTCTCTCATCAGTCAGCCCGACGGACATTATATCCATAATTCAATGACTTAAAACCAAAGCTGGGAACATTAATGAAATACCTTCTATGCTATATATGAGTGCTGCCCCTACTCTTGCACTACCTACTCTTGCGCTAGCGCCTGACAGCTGGTTGGACAGCGCTTCGGGTTCGTAGTCCTGAGGTTCCGGGTTCGATCCCCGGTGGAGGCGAAGACAAATGGGCAAAATGTTTCTTTCACCCAGATGCCCCTGTCATCTAGCAGTAAATAGGTACCTGAGAGTTAGACAGCTGCTACGGGCTGCTTCCTAGGGGGGGGACAACAAAAAGGAGGCCTGGTCGAGGACCGGGCCGCGGGGACCTGATACTGACCTAACCTGGACTGACCTCCAAGTACAGGTCATGTGACCAGCCTGACCTGAAACTGTTAAGAGTAACGGCAACAATCTTTGTACTCATGTTTCTTATTCCCAGGCTGTATTTTGGGTGTCTCTAGCTATATGCCCTATTACCAGGCTGTATTTTGGGTGTCTCTAGCTATATGCCCTATTACCAGGCTGTATTTTGGGTGTCTCTAGCTATATGCCCTATTACCAGGCTGTATTTTCGGTGTCTCTAGCTATATGCCCTATTACCAGGCTGTATTTTGGGTGTCTCTACCTATATGCCCTATTACCAGGCTGTATTTTGGGTGTCTCTAGCTATATGCCCTATTCCCAGGCTGTATTTTGGGTGTCTCTAGCTATATGCCCTATTCCCAGGCTGTATTTTGGGTGTCTCTACCTATATGCCCTATTACCGGGTTGTATTTTGGGTGTCTCTAGCTATATGCCCTATTACCGGGTTGTATTTTGGGTGTCTCTAGCTATATGCCCTATTACCAGGCTGTATTTTGGGTGTCTCTACCTATATGCCGTATTATGAGCGTCTATCAACATGTCCTATTACCAATCCGTAATTTAGAGTGTCTCGGGGAACATTCCCTATTACCAAGTCCTATTTCGTCTCTACTCACATGTCCTATTACCATACCGTATTTTGGGTGTCTACTCACATGCCCTATTATAATGGCGTATTTTGGGTGTCTCTACCCACATGCCCCATTACGAGGCCGTATTTTAGGTGTCTCTAGCTACATGCCTCTATTACGAAGGCGTATTTTGGGTGTCTCCATATAAATTTCAGTCCGAGGATGCTTTTCGCTAAAACTACTTTCACGGAAATTTTAGCGTAGCGTCACGAAGTGTATGCCGTTAAATAATTTGAACTCTGTTATCAATTATTTTTATGCATTAATCATATTTTGTATTATTATTATTATGTCAGTGTTTTTTTTAGCGATATTTTAAAAACGCTACGATAGAATTACGTAACAATTTGAATATATGAAATAAAGAATTTCTAGATAACCGGTAAAATATTTTTGTATCAGATTTTCAGTCTCATAGATTTTTTTTGTTTATATCTCTCAAGTGTTCTGTTTTTTTCTGTTCCGGTGAGAGTAAGATTTGTTCGCGGGGAAAGGGAAGGTAGTTCTGACATGGAGAAGGGGAAGGGAATCTTATCCGGGGGGGGGGGGGGGGAGGTAGTAGGGGGGGGGGGGTTATCCCGATGATGGGAGAAAATGGGGGATTTATTCCTGAGGGAGGGAGGGAGGACGGAGTTTTGACCCGAGGGAGGAGGAGGGGGGGGGCGGGGGGTAGTTTTGTTCAAAGGGAGGGAGGAAAAAGTTTTGTACCAGGGAGGGAGGAATGAGTTATGTCCTGGAGGAGACAGGCAGGAATTTTGACCCTGGGTGGTGGGAGGGAGTTTTGTCCCCCGGGAGAAGGATGAGTCTCCGAGGTCAAGGGTGAAATATGATTATGGCAGATTTGTCTTATTAAGTGATAAAATTAAATTCATCGATCTCGTACACCGCTAGAAGCTTTTAGACTTCAAACTAAGCATCATTCAGGTCGGCGTTCAATCCCCAACCGTCCAAATGTTTGGGCACCATCCCTTCCCACCGTCCCATCCCAAATCCTTATCCTGACTCCCTTCCATGTGCTTATATAGCCGTAAAAGCTTGGCGCTTTCCCCCCTGATAATTCCCTCCTTCCCTCCCTAGGCAGTCACGTTTAAGAAACCTCTTAAATACTAATGTCCACTGCGGTGGTAATTAGGAGTGGGGCGCCTGAAGGCTGTTCCCGGAGCAGCCACAACTGCTGGCAGGTGGCGGGAAAAGTAGGTCACAGCCTCTGGTGGGGGGGAGGGGGTGCGTGGGGGGGGACGTAGGGGGTGCATTGGGGGGGGACGTAGGAGGTGCGTGGGGGGGGGGGGACGTAGGAGGTGCGTGGGGGGGGGGGGGACGTAGGGGGTGCGTGGGGGGTGCATGGGGGGGGAGAGTCCGGAAGTCTGGCCTCTCGCCGACTGGTCTGACCTTACTCTCAGAGTAATAGGGAAGGATTGTCTAGATGGTATATATGTCTACATATGGCAAAGACAAATCTAAAACACATATACAGTCTATATAAAGACATAATAAATGTGAGAATAATTAACATTGGAGATAGGCAGCCTGGGTATATGCTCATTAGGAGTGTATCGAGGTCCCCCTACAAAGTCGAACTATTGACCCTCCCCAAGATGCAACTCCTCGACAAGCTGACTAACTCATGGGTGCCTATTTGCTGCTAGGTGAACAGGAAACATGCCAAACCATTTCTGTCCCTCTAGGGATTCGAACCCGATATTCCCGATTACGAGTTGACAGACAGACAGATAGAAAGACTCGGGCACTGCTGGATAGCCCATCTAGTTAATTAATATCTTGATTGTTTTAGGTTTGTATAAATGTTTGTTATAAAGTTAAGTATTGATGAGTAATATCAGTGCACAATGCCCCCCCCCCCATGTCATGAACATTATTTACCGTTACCAGCATGCAACTATTTCAGTCTGCTGACGTCACGCCGGTCTATTGATCCCCAGTGACCCTTACTGACACACACACACACACTTGTTTGTGTCCACACCTAGTTGTGCTCAACCCCCGCAAGCACAACTAGGTGAGTACACCACAGACACTATCAAGACTATTAAAGTTGAAACAATGACAACATATTTTGTCATAATATGCTGTTTGTGTAATATTATATTTGTATGTGTCGAACACCGTTATTTTGTGTTTCCGTTCTGTGTTGGGTTTGAGGCCTATCACCCATGGGATGGTTATTATTTAATCTGGAACAAATTTCAAGACTAAAGTAAGTAACTTCAGTGTATATAAGGGGGGAACCTCTTGGCATATATCTCTAATTACTGACTCTCCTCTCTCTCGTCTCCTCTCGTCTTCTCTCGTCTCCTCTCGTCTTCTCTCGTCTCCTCTCTGGCATGATTCTTATTCCTCGTCACGTCTCGTCCTCCCCCTTCGTGCCGAGGGGGCGGCGGAGGGCTGCGTGCGGTCACGGACCATCCCTCTCTAGTGGGTGTCTGTCTCTGGGCGCTCATGGTGATGTTGGTAGTGTGTGGGGGCGTGTGTGACGAGGGGGTGCAGGCGGGTGTTGGTTGAGAGGGTGTAGGCCAGGGTGGGGGTGTAGAGGGTGTCGGTGGATGTGGGGTGAAGGGGGTGTAGGTGGATTTCAGGTGTAGGTGAAT